CTGAAATTCCACTGTTTTCACTTTCGGTTTCAACGCGACTGGAAGCAAATGTCTAAGAGTTTTTTGTGTTTGTTTGTCCTTTAACGTAACCGTCATTGTTAAGCTTTTAACAAATATCACAAGCTGAAGGCGAGTGATGTACAAAATTTTTAAGTGTTCCGCCAAAATCCCCAATAAGTGGATTAGTAATTATGCTAGTTAACGGTGGTCTTATGATTTTAAAAAAATCGTTTTGAGAGGTGCAATAACCGACAACTTTTTTGGTAGTATTTGAGTCATTTCACAAACCTTCTTGAACATACCCCTAGAGGCATACAGCATTTTTGGGTCATAGTTACTCATCAGTTGGCTGGTCATTAACAGATTGTCTTCGGATAGTCAATACATTGTTTGCAGATTTTAACCTCTAGGCGACCTCAAATGAACTTCTTCATATGCAGATCACATGTTGACTAAGATATTGCAGGCTATTGATCAAATTTTTGGTGACCATTAGTAGCTATTGCTTAACTGTTGTGCTACTAGCAACTATCAATGGACTTTCAGCTAACATACTAAACAACCAGTGTACTAAGCAAGGCTACCTTGGGGTACAAGGTACTCTTGGACATCCCTTCTCAGAATAACTGTCTAAAACAGTTCCTATCCCTATGAGCCATAAAAGTGACTAGCATCCAATTTTCCCTTTACAATATAACCCCTGAATCAAACATTTCAGTCACAGGAATGAAGGAAATGATCATCAGCTAAAGAAGTTCTTGACTGTAAACCAAATTTCCTTGTCAGCATCTTAAGAAATGTATTGAGAACAGTGTGTAGAATATGCATACTGATGTAAGAGTGCAAAGGTTAAAGGGGAAGGATACCTTAGTTTGTTAAGGGTTAACAGAGATTTTTATGATTTACCAAACCCTCTTTCAGATCAAGGAACCACAAATAATGTTGCTCTTATGATTGTAAGTTCTAGGTAAGAAAGCAATAAATTATTTCTGTTACTCTGTAGGAGACCTGTCAACTTTGGACAACAGTGGGGCAGGAATCTAAAGGTTTGAGTGATTTTATCTACCATGGCAAACAAACGTTTTTAGCTTGCAGTGGGATAAAGAAATACGTTACTCTCAAGGAGGTTCACAATGTTTTAAATTATGTTTAGTCAGGTTTCTTCATCTTTGCTGATGTGCCTCACAGTTCACAATTTGTTTTCATGTTAGATGCAATGTGTGTGACAAAACAAAATAATTTTAAATTTGGTATTTCTTTTGAGCAATTTAGATATGACATGTAAATGTATAATCAAAGTTCACTTTTCCTTAAAAATCAGAGAAAAAATAAGAGCACAAAAAAACCTAACTTTGACCAACTCAGTCCCGGAGATTACTATGAAAAATGTCTCCTGACTTTATTAATACTAAATCTATAAAAAGTAGAGATTTGATGATAACTGCTTCATCTTCTCCTTTATCTCCTTGCTGAATTGTATGAGAATCACAAGTAATACCAGAAAGCATGTTGGTATGAACGCACAGAAAAGAAACTACAGTAGATGTCTAGACCCCATAGATCACCAGTACAATAGCTCTTATGAGTAACCTTGGTCAAGCAGATGGCTAGTTGATGGTCAGCTCACTCTGGAAAAATTTTTAGTCCATGTCTCAGTTGGGGTGTCTCCTAATTACTGCGACATGAAAAAGTCAGCTACAGGTAGTTATCAAGAGAGTAGCAGTCAGCCTTTAGAAAATTACTTGTTTCAGGCTACTATAAACCAACTACTGAAGGTGTATTGACCTATATATTGATCAACTATTAGTCACTTGGTATTTTTTGTGTGTAAATCATGTCCCTGTAGGAAATGGAAAAAGGAAGAGCCTCAAATTATCAACAAAAAAGGTATGATTGAGAAAGATAAGTTAAACTAAAAGATGCTAGAAAGATATTATTCGAATGTATAATATTTTCCCCAAAATCCTGCTTCTAGGCCTTCTCCTTATTTAAGCACTTCCTATACTTTTGTAAGTCAGATGGGAACTCACTCACACACAAAGGGCACTGAGACATTGAACTGTTATTGAAAGAGATTTCATCTTAATGTCATGTCTATGTCTTTTGTTTAAAAATTTGTCATTGCAATCAAAGCTTTTCTACTGCTAAAATAATTTTTAGGTAGCACCTGTGTTTTTTCATGTGAACTTTTCAGGGCATTTAATTTTTTATTTTACATCTTTTAAGCAGGTCACCAAATGATCCATTGTATTGGGCTGTATGAGGGCTTAAAAGAGAGATTGTTCACCAACTTAAGTAAATTCTTTTACCAGCCAATTTACAAATGGTTTCTCCTATGTGTCTAACTACATGTACTGTTTGACTCACAAGAAATGGACAATGTGTCAGTTGGGTAAAGATTAAACAGAATTTTGTTTGTGATATATTTGTTTTCTTATGTAGACAGAAGTTAGAGATGAAATTCCTTTGTTTTCTAGAAAGAAGATAAACTTAACACATTGGTGACAAGAAGAAATGACAAATCAAGATGTTCACCACAAAGTGGGAAAGGAAAAACTGATCAAACATGCTTTACAAAGATTGTGAAACAAAATGTTGTGTTAACACCCTTACCAAAGAATAAACAGGCAAAGAGTAATGGTGAAATGTCATCTTCCTCTTCTGAACCCAATCAGCCTCCTTATGCTCATAAGAAGAATGGATACAACAATTTTAAATTGCCATCACCAATATGCCAGCTAAGAAACAAGAAGAATACCTCAATAAATGGATCTAAGTGTAATCTTGCAGTCAACAATGTAAAAGAAATAGTTATCGAAGATGATGATTTCATTCCACCAACACCATCTCCAAATGGACAGCATAGTTTTATCAGCTGTTGTCCAGAAAGTACCCCATTGTTGCATGATGAAAGTAGAGTGTCCAAGGTTCTCAACCACTCATCTGCTGCAAATTATTACAAAAATGAGCTAAGTGAAAGAGGATCTGCTAAAATAAAAAAAGCAGTCTTTGTTGGTAATGATCCTGAAGAAGCAGATGATAACAAAAGGTTACCTGTCTCAGATATATCTTCACCTCCACATAACTATGTTGAAGCTCAAATGACAACACAAGCAACCAGTCGTAAAAAGTATAAGCTTTCCAGGAAGGGGTTTAAGCCACCAAGGGTACTGTCAAGTCCAATAAAAAAGAGCAACATCAGTGCATCAGTTGATAAGTCACCAAAGAGTCAGTCACCCACAGGAAACAACGCAGGCTACCAGAAGGAGTCTGTGTCCATTATTGCACCATCAAAGTGTGTCGTTCTAAGATCGAGAATGAAACGTTCAGCAGCCAGGGGAAGTTCTCCTATGCAGAAGAGACTCTTAACAGAATATCCTTTGGAAGAAAAGGTAACCATCTGTTTTGAATCATAATTATGTACCATAGGTAGCCTTTGGTCAATATAGGGACTGATAAACAATCAATATGTGATTGTGAGTAAATAGCTGATTGGTAATGGACATATCTTCAACCAGTAGGTATACAGTGGTTGAATGACACTCTACTAAATTGTCTTGAAAAGTTGTCTTAGCCATTTTGGTTTCCTTTCTGGATCTATAATGGTTTTTTGTCAATTGCTGTTACAGAGTACAGTGAAATGTAACCTCTGGGACAGAATAGAAGAAGATTTACTCTCTAACTCTCCTGGAGAGAATGGAGAGAATGAAGGACAACAAGCTGTAGATCATGAACAGTACCATCTTGCAAACCATTGGGTTGAAAATAAAAATGTGATGAAACAGTACACCTTGGACACAAGCATAGGAAATTGCTCCCTTGATGAAAAATTACTGGAATGTGAAGAATTATTTGATGAAAGAAACCATGGGGAATCTTACAGTTGTACAAATACTAATTATGGTACAGAAGAGATGGAGAAGTGTGACTCAAATGTTGGAGGAGATCTAAAGAATCAATTTAGAACTCCTAACAAATCACAGTCTCATCAAATTCTGCAACCATCCAAATCTCCACCATGCAATAACTTGTCTGGGCAGTTGCTTACACCTACAAGAGCAGATGGAAATACTTCAGTGGACAGTCTTGCTGATGCTATGGAGTTGGATAATTTACTGGATGGTGTTAAATGGTCGCCTATGGTCAGCTTTCCTGAAACATTTCACATTTCAAGGTTATTGCACATACATTTTACTTCCTTCTATTGATTTCTCTAACTTACTTTTTCACTAAGAGATAACAACAAGACAGTTGGACTTTGGGTAGTTTGGACAGTTTTTTCCATATCTTGTTGATTAAAAGTTGTTGGTATCATTATGAAACCCCAGTTTCCCTTGCTCCAAATCTGATTGCCATAGGTTGATTAATGATGACCTGGCCTGAAATTTTTCATCCTAACCTGGATACAGTTAGATAGGAACATCATGATCAATGTTGAGGAAAAGAATTCTCAATATTTGTCTCTGGAAAAATAGAGACTCTTGAGACTTGAGAAAACAGAACTAACCATTCCTCTTGTTACCACATTTTGAGTTGATATAGCTTGCATTTCTGATATCTCATTAGGAGTGCAAGTTAAAGTTCCAAATAAGTGATAGCTTAGTGGTCTGAGAGGAGGTGGGAATATTTTCCTTTCCAATTTCCACCTTAGTTTCCTTTCTCCAATTGACCACCCATAAGGCAGTAATTTATCACTCTTTCCAAGCTTCTGTTGCTTTGAGTATCAAAGATGACAGCCACTCATTTTGCAGGTAAGTACTGGGCCTTTAACTGGTGAGATAAAGCCAACATATGTTTGGAATATTTGTTAGCTTATTTTCCTATCAAATATCCAAAAATTATGGGATGTAAAAGGTATGTTAGTGCACTTCTGCAGGGTTACTCAACATCATCTTGAATGTTTGCAAAGCCTAACCTCTTGTATACTTTGTCAACAATTTGCCATTAATTTTAGTAAAAACAAAAAGCGGTCCTAATGGAGGAAATACAATGACATGGTATGCCATTACATGCATGGTATGCCATTACATATTCTGCATGATGTACCATTACAAATGGCACTTGCAGTGAGCAATGAAGAAAATTAGAGAACATCTTAATCTTTGGTGGGTGTATATAAAGTTTGACACGTGGTTCAAACAATCTTGAGAGGTTCTTGAGTCTTAGCAAATGTCTTGAAAGTCTTTCAATTTGGTAGGATCCTTGAAAAATGATTGATTTATATATTAGGTCTTGAAAAGTCCTTGAAACCTAGGATTTTGTGTACCCACTATCACTCCTCTGGTAAAATTGAATGATGCTGTTGAGAAAATTTTTGTCCTGAATTACTTCTGAGATACTAAAACAACAAGGGTAAATGTTGGTATAAAACATGAACAGCTTCACAGAACAAAATTGAGATATTTGCCTTTACCTCATGTACCACCCCTTACAGTTGTCTACCATGCACTTTTGCTCCAAATGGCATATGTTGACAGAGTAGTTATGAAGCAATTGTCTTATGCTACCTTTGTTTGCAAGTCAAATGAGTGATGGGGAAATGTACATTCAATCATTAATGATTGAGTGATGAAAATTCAAAGCTGAGGAAACTGGACAGTTAACTCTGTTCAGTGCTCTCAGAAAGAAAGCCAAAGTAAAGACTCCTCAACTGCAAGAAGTTGATAGCAAACGGAATGAAAATTTGGAAGCTATAAATACCTGTTGAAATCTTTTACTTTGAATTTTGAGAAAATATTCAATATTAATGTCTCTGTATTTCAAATTTTGTTTCTTTCCTTCAGACATATGTGCAAGCTGTCAAATAGCCAGTTTACAAAATTGTTGCTAATGCCATGTTCTCATCAACCAAGGCTGGACTATCTTAAAATTGTAAATGACTTAGCTGTGTGTTTTAAGGAGAGGAAGAGTTTCAATTTCTCATTAAACTTGGTCCTTAAAAACTACTTTTTGTTCTTGAAAAGTCCTAGAATTAGGTTTTTCAAGGTTGTATGAACCATGATGACATTTGTGAATGCATTCCCATAAAACTCCTTCAACTCCAACCATTTTATAAGGAGAGAATTATCATAACTTACTATCTATATGTATGTTCCATTTTTCAGCAACAGCAACAGCAGCTCATGTAAAGCACTCTTCTCTCCTATCAGAAACACAGAGCAGGCTAACACAATATCTAAGGATCTCCAAAATAAATGCAACATTACTCATATTACTTGTCACTCTGGAACAAAGGGTTACAGTCGTTTCTTAGTGCTGGAGGTGTCTCGCAGAGAACTACAAGGCCAGGAAGTTGTGGCAAAGTATGGAAGACAATTACCAGAGAAGGTTCTTCGTTTATTTGACGAAGTGTCTGGTCAAGAAAAGTTCTGTAGTTTAAGGGAAGACTGGGAGATGAGTGAAGTTGAACCTGGTGACATTGTACATATTACAGGTGTGTATATATTTTTTCCTTTATCTTTAATCACCAGACTTAGCAAATAGTTAATAGCAACTAAGCTAGCAGAAACTTGTCCTGATAAGTTTCCAACACTAATTTCAGTTTATAATGCTGAACCACATTTGATATTGGATCAAGTGTTTAAATTTGTGATCTCTAAACAGGGTCAGCTGTTCAAAGGGCAGATAATTCTATCCAACTGATAAATCACTATTCAGTGGATAAGTGTTAACAAAACATACTGTGCTAACCTCTGGATAGTGATCTATTTGACGGATAGTGTTATCCATCCTTTGAAAAACCAGGGCTAGTTCTAAAGCTTCACCAACTCTTTTTCCTAATATTGTTTTCCATAGACACCACATAATTTTGGCTGTAATGTTTTCTTTGACAGGATCATTTGACTCGTCAACAGCAACATGTATCCTTGATAACTCAACTGAACACTATCTTGTCATTCACCCTGATACTTTGGTATCTGGAACTACTGTTTCCATGGCAACTAAGTGTTTAAGGCAGGGCATACTCAATGAGCAATTTCGCACTGAAAGCCAAAGTGAGGCAATGTTGATTGGAACACTTCTTCATGATCTGTTTGATTTGGCCATGGAGTTTAAGGGTTAGTACTGCTGAATTTTATGCTCAAATTTCAGTAAGAAGATGTTACAGACACATGTTTGTCTTTTCATTTGTATTTGTTCTTTTTAACCCAGGACTTTTGTACATTATGGAGTCCTTAGAGTATCTGTAAGTTGCAGGGTTTGAGTGTTGGTTAAAAAATGCAGAAGCAGGAAAATTTATTGAAAAAAATAGGAGAATATTCTCCATCTCTGAATGAAAAAAAAGCTCAGGCTTGAGAATTCTCAATAGAAGACTTAGAATTTCGCAGTTGTTGGTGCTTAATAAGCACTGTGCAAGGTTTTTAATAAGAGTATTATGGCACCAAAGGTTCTTCTTGCCATATTTACATTTGGGATAGTTTCCTTATCAAGCAGGTGGTTCTTAGTGAAATCCAGAGTTAATTCAACTGAAAGGAGAGATTTGAAATGTTTTCACAACATATGTTCGAATTAGGGCTAACAAACTTTCCCCCCTTTTTTGGGTAACCCTGTCAAGTTTTCTCCATGCACTTTCTCTGGGAAACATCGCACTGAAAACATTTAAATGAAATCGTTCGCTATCTACAACGTTGAAGTTTTTGGCAAATTTTCCAATAATAGTGCACAAGTAATTCAAGAAACCTTTTTTCTTCTTTTACATGTATTTTCATGCTTCTTGTTATGTGTTAAATATTTTTTGTCTTCCAATGTTTTACCGCAAACTGCACGTTCATGCAATTGATTTTCTAGTTATCAGTCTGTTGTAAAGTCGCTTTGTCTCTTTAAAGAATTTTCTCCAGATGCACTTTTAACAAGAGCTAGAGGGCTTCTCCAGAGGCTTTCTTACTTGGATGACTTCTACAGCCTGGGACAGACAGAGAGTTGGGCCCTGGAAAAACTGAAGGAACATATTCCACTTCTCTGTGACTGGGCCAAGAAGTTTGTGGTTCCTTTTCCCCAACCTGATCTGGGGGCTATGGATTTTAAGACCCCTGAATTCCCACATCAGACTGAGCAACCAAGTGTTTGTGTGTCAGCACTGAAAGACATCGAAGAAAATATCTGGTCACCGCGGTATGGACTTAAAGGTTGGTATTTTCTTCTCCTTCTTCCTCGTTTTCTTATTCTTTTTCTTCATCTTCTCCGCAGTTTCTCTCTTTGCTTTTCACTATGCATTTTTACATTTCTGAACTCATTGGAATAGTTTAGTCCCAACATATTTCTTATACTTTTGACCAGTATGTACTCTTTTTATTCTCAAGCAAATACATTCACATGAGGTTTTGAGCTTGGCTTTATTTTGAAAGTGTGGGCTTTTTGAACCCAGAAATAACCTACGTCATAAGTCTCTTTGTACCACAACATCCCATATATATAAACCACGAATATAAGCGTTTCTTCTGAAAAGTTAAATAACAGTTGCAACTATTTTAACCGTCTTGGTATAGTTTCATTCTTTTTTACGATCCAATAATTTTTATTAAACATTTTCTTGGATTTTATGGTTACTTTTTGGATACAAAAACTTGACAAGGAAAACCGTATGAACAGAACGGTTTGCATCTTTGTTTTTAGGGAAAGTGGATGCCACCGTTGAAGTTAAAATTGATCGAAGACCTAAAATAAAACGGCACAGGCCTGATACAGGAAATCAAGTACAGACCAGAGTGATGCCATTGGAATTGAAGACTGGGAAAATGTTCACTAAACTAGGTGGGATTTAAAGAAACAAACAAACAAACAAACAAACAAACAGAAAAATATGATACCAACTTTCATAAAAGTGTTGCGAGATGATTTTATACATGGTTGGTAAAGGCAACACAGCAGTCAAACCTCTGACTTGCGTAAGGGGATTAATTCTGGTCTTCTGCACGCCCATTTCGCGCAAAATTTCAAAGGAAAACACAAAGCTTATTTGACCAGGGGCATCAAGTTGATTTGTCTCTTATTTTGAACTTTATCACAATCAACTTGACGGAATGGTTGTGTTCAACTTTCAACTAGGACAACCTGGGTCTCGCAACTTGAAAGCACGCCGCCTAGCCATTGCAAAGGTCGCAGATGCGCAGAAGTTTAACTGCTGTGTTACTTAAGTCTAGGGGTTGCAGTATGTCAGCGGCACTCTCAAAACCAAACATTCATAGTGTACTCCTTGCGAGGTAAACTTCAGCAAGATACGTTAACTTCTTGGCTCTAAGGAGGATGTCGCGATTTCGGCCAAATCCCAAGTTCATTTGCGTCTTGTATGCAGCTAGGATAAACGACGTTAAAAGCGTCCTGTATTTCAAAAGAACATGAAGCTCATTCCTAGATACTTAAGTGGTCATCTTCAGAATGCATAATATTCACGAGTGATAAGAGGGGGCCTACTGAGATATAGCTTTTAGCAATTTAATTTTTTGTTATGGCTAGAGCTTTTAGAGATAAAGTGACGATAAATCAATGTATTAGATCTTTCTCTTCTCCACCTTTTGAACATTTTTGAAGATCGATTTCCTGCGTAGAATATGGAGGAATCATCAAAAGGGATGAGCGCGAATTTAGCTGCACTCGAGATGTTACTAAACAAAAAATATTTAGCGTAGCACTTGGTACAAAACATAGTGATACCGCTTCCAAAGGAGCATGGGAAACCTCCTAAACAACAATAGGTTAAGTAATGGGCTTAAATCTTAAACTTACAGGAGTGATCAACATCTAATTACTTGCAATATCAATGAATTAATCAACAAACTGATGATGAGATCAGATAAACGTATCAGCCTGAGAGTATTTTCAATATTGATGAGATACTAAATTCTCATTATTAATCGCGAAGGAAATGTGTAACACGCCCAAGGGAAATTACAGATAATACTTTGAGAGTTAAAAAGTTAGATCTCAGCTAAATGTAACTCCTGTCGACTAAGTTGTAGCTGTTATCTATATATTTTATGTATTGATTATTTTCCTTATCATTTGCATCACCAGGATCGATCGAGCACCGAGCACAGGTGATTCTGTACACTTTACTCATGTCTGATCGATATTTTCAAGCAGTTGACGCAGGGTTACTATTTTACATGAAGGCAGCTCATATGCTTAGTGTTCCGAGTTTCCTTCACGAGAGGAGAGCTCTTATCATGAAAAGGAATGAAGTTGCACGCTACTTGACACTGAACAGGGCCGGAGCCACAGGATCTATGCCAGGTTGGTAGAGATGAAGCTCACAATCTGTACGTTTATTGCTCACTGAGCAATAAACGCAGGCAATGGAACAAGCTTCTGTAAGCACCTTGGTCAGTAACACGTAAGTTGTTGTAAAGCCATCGAGTACAAATGATGGTAGCCTAAATAGTGGCCAGTGCGCTGTACTCCGGGTCGAGAGGTCCTGGTTCGAGACCCGGGCAAGTCATTGTGTTGTGTTCTTGGTCAAGACACTTTACTCTCAGAGTGCCGCCCTCTCCACTCAGAGTATAAATGAGTACTGTCGATTGTCAGGGAAGCCTGATGAAATGCTGGGGGGTACCCTTGCGATGGATTAGCTTCCCATTTGGGGGGGGGGAGGAGTTGTAATACTCCATGTCGCTTCATCGATTTGGAAACCGGGATAAGCTCCAGCTGGGTAGGTCAATGGGCTCGAGTAGAGACTTAACCTTTTTTTTTACTTTGTCTTAATAACATAAACGTATGTTTTTTTTTTTATCGCCCAGCAATGTTGAAAGATCACAACACCTGCAAGCGATGTCCTCAGGTTCAAAACTGCACCACTTTTCACAAAGCAGTCGAGCAAGGAGACGGTGTAACAAGTGGTCTGGGATCATTATTTAAAGAGATGACCGAACACATGTCCAGAACCTACGTACGCTACTTTAGAGACTGGTATAAACTGGTTTGTCTGGAAGGTAAGGAGATGGAACAAAAAAGAAATCAGAACGAGATTTGGTGTTTGGACGGAAGCGAAAGGGAAAAACTTGGTCGCTGTTTTAGCGGGATGGTACTGAAGTCATGTGGTTGTGACATGGTGCAAGGGGGCAGTCATTACAGACACAAGTTCGAGCGCTGTGCAGATCATCCTAGCGTGATGTCATTACAGGATGTGCCAATTACGGCGGGGGACCGTGTGATTTTAAGTGAAGAGAATGGTGGAGCCACAGCTGTCGCGGCAGGTAGGTTTGCACAAATTGAAATTCTTATAATTTATAGGATCAGTCCTTGAACAAACAAACTACTTTAGATCTCTTGGCAAAGCGAGATTGTGCCATCCATTTGCCGTGGTTATTAAATTATTATGGCGCAGAAATAACATTAAGCTGATTCATTTTCAGAGCCCTTCGAAATTGTAGAGTTGTGCGTAAACGAAGTTGCGTTAATTTCTGAACTTGCAGCATTTTATGGTTCCTTCTACATAGGGTACATACATGAGGTGAAGAAGAGCGAAGTTGTTGTCTCACTAGACAGAGATTTGACTAAAAGGTAAGGAATTCAAGTAAGGTTTCATAATAGAAATATTTAAAAAGGATGAGATTTAAATGCGAATCTGTTAAGGTTAATGTTTGTACCAGAAAAAGTAGTTCATTTGAACCGGGTTTCTTTCCTCGTTTTTCTAATGCAAAATCAATGGGAATTGTTCAGTGGTGAGGTGAATAACGAAGTATGTTCTAAAACCTGGAACATGCCGGAACACCGCGGAATTAAAAAAAAAGAAGAATAAACCTAAAACTTGATTAAAAAATAGTTAAAAAGATATGAGGAAAAAACTCAATTTACGTGTTGCTCGCGCTCTTCGTGCGTCAAGTCCGCCATCTTGGTTTCCGCTGACCATGGAGAATGGTGGGATTTCGGGTTTCAGCACGTGTAGAATAACAACGTCAATAAAGTCGCTCACACTACATATTTTCCTACAAACTTAAACGGGAAATGTTAGTTTTCAATTGCTGATGAGTTCACTACTTGCACCTACAGTTATGATACACACATTAAAGAAACAAGCTCCAAACTCTATCGCCTTGACAAAGACGAGGAGTATAGCTCTCAAACAACTCTGTGGTCCAACATGGCAAAACTGTTCAAAGGTGACTCTGACAGAGACGCTCAGCTGCGTCGCCAAATCGTAGACTTGGAACCACCGGTGTTTTCAAGGGAAAGACGGAATGACACAGTGACCATGTGCAGTCAGACATCAGATATCGCTCAGTTCTTCTCACAACAATCACCGTAAGTGTTGCTCTCGCTTGATAGAGAAAATAACATTTGAATGTCAAAAGTAACGCGGAATTATTGGCTTCTCCCTTTCCCGCCCTGTAATTGAGAAAGAAATCACGATCCTTTTTGCTAATTAAAAGCAAAGCCAATTGAAATCATTCGTAACTTGGTCATTCGCGTTTCCCGCGCTACATACGGTTCACTTATTTATACTTTGTGTTCTTATTGAATCCTTTTGATATTTTACTTCTGATTGTGCTCGTAGAAGCTTTAGTTTTTCCAACACTCAGTAAATTTCGCCTCTTTCCGCGATAGGGCCTTTGCTTGTATGGAAGCTTTCTCCGGGCGAGCGGGGGCAAACGATAAGCGAATGCGAAGGGCGAGGAAGGGAGTGCGAAAAAATTGTTATGATCAGTATTTTATTTTTTTGCGCTCCTCTTCTTGCGCATGTCTTGCGCTTCGCACTTGCCGTGCGTTTGCCTCTACTCGCCTAAAAGATGTAATATTGATCCAGTTATGCAGGCGTTTTGGAATGTGGCTGTAGAGACAAAATTGTAATGGGGTAAAACTGGTTAATTAAACTCCAATAATACACACAAAGGTGCGGACAATGTGAGGGACGCTACGTCTTCTCCATCAGATGAAGAAGTAGCCGATGAAAGAAGAAACAGTTCATGGCTACTAACAAGGTAGAAACAACGTAGTTTCACTGCCATTGTCGCATTGATGCGCATTTTGTGGCTGTAACACACTCTTTTACAATTATCGACGGAGATTTAGTTGAAGCTTGTTATGTACAGGTCTCAAAGCAACAAAAGCCAGAAGTCCTTGCCGGACCCAGCTGTGGAGTCTATCTTACAGGAGCTGAACTCAGGGCAACGGAAGGCGGTATCTAAAGCCCTTGCGGCCCATCACTATGCGCTGATCCTAGGTATGCCAGGAACAGGAAAGACGACCACCATCTCCTGCTTGGTTCGTGTGCTGGTGGCAAGTGGTAAATCTGTTCTACTCACTAGTTACACCCATACTGCTGTGGACAACATTTTACTCAAGCTTAAAGAGGTTTGTCAGTGGTCTTATTTACTTACTTATTTACTTTACTTATACTGAGGCCAGCCTAATTTTTCAGAATTGGGAGGCAATTTCCGATCTATGAAAACTCTCACTTTCAGAATGAGCCCAGTTGTAAAACCATGCCAATGTATTAGAATGCTTTGTGTGTTTGTGTAAAAAGTTGTTTTTCACATTTGAAGTTCCACATTTACCTTCGTTTTAACCAAGGTTTTAGTCTTTCTGTAATGGCCTGCCGTAGCTATTATACATTTTTATAGCCAAACGAAATAATTTAATTGTGATAATGATATGGATTGTTTAAAGATTATTCTTTGTAAGGGATTTTCTCTCTTGCACTTGTTTTGGTTCATTGTTTACTTCCAATGTTTGGTACTCAATTATACAAGAGAAGCTCGTTACTTGGCCTAACAATGGTTGAGTGGATTAAGCACTATCCGGGCTCTATCAAGCTGCGCAAGCCTCACCATTAATGAAAACTTTAAGTGGTCTGTGTTTGTCAGTGTATTCCGGGAATTCTTGTGTTTATTTCCTCTTTAATAGCGAAGTGCACCAGTGGATAAGTAAATAGGGATGAATTCAAAGTACATTGTATTTGTTCACTCATAATTTCAAAATATTGTCTAGAAATAGGTGATTACAAATTGATAAACTTATCATGTAAGACCAACTTCTCCTTATATATTTTCAAGAAAATATATGGCTGCCTGGAGGGAGAACTCAGTTCTAATCAAATTTTTGTAGTTAAAGAGTTAGATGTGAACTCTGATCTTCTTTTCCATGTCTTTCCTTTCAGGCAAACATAGATTTCCTTCGTCTTGGCCAGGTCCATAAAATTCTTCCCAAAATTCAATCATACAGCGCGCACCGGGCAGCTGCTGGCATCAAAACTGTCAATGAACTAAGGAAGTTATACGAGTCCAAGGTAATATTACTGTTCAACAACAAGAAACTGAGCATACAGAAGTTACCGTAAATGCACCAATGGACCCCCCCCCCCCATGAGCCTTTCTCCTCCCCCCTTCCCCCTATAAACAAAATTTCTAAAATAGGAGTAGCATTATTAGTCAATTTAGATAGCAAGTGTTTCAGTTCAAAATTTACTTGCGTTTTAAAGCCTCAACCAAAAAAAATGCATACTAATACGCCCCAACGTATACAATTGTTATATGGCGAAGAAATACATTAACGATTTAGACTTATTTTTATCAGTGTCCATAGTAATCTGGGGTCGAATTGGTTTTGCGCAACGAAAGTCTCTGAATGGTATATAATTTTTACGCCAACCTTCAAACCAATCAGACACAAAACTAAAACCAATTAAGACCTGGTTGCACGTGCTTTCCTACACTATAGACATTTTGTACATATTTATCTTCTGGTGATATTTATCTTTGTGTTTACCTTGGTTCTGTCTTGAGAAGTGCCCAATTATGGACGATATAAGCCATTTTACAACGACAATATAGTTGTATAAAGTATTAGTTTCTGCCGTTTTTTTTTTTTCTAGTCCGTAGTGGCGACCACCTGTTTGGGTGTGAAACACGCCCTCTTCTCTCAACGCTCCTTTGACTACTGTATTGTGGACGAGGCTTCCCAGATCACCCAACCAGTGTGTATTGGTCCTCTAAGGCACGCCCGTGTCTTTATCTTAGTGGGTGATCATTATCAGCTGCCACCCTTAGTGCAGAGTGTAGAAGCTAGGTAAGTTAAACTTTCCATCTCATTTTTCGCATATTGCATAAAACTGGCAATATATTTCTTCATTTGCTATAAAATTAGAGCCATATTTCTTTACTGCGAAAAACGATGGAACGATCGACTCTTTATGAGCTATTGGCTTCATTCATAACGTTAGTAGAATCTAAACGAGGAACCCCTAGAGATGTGATTGGCATCTCTCCACTGATGTATTTTCTGGGGTCCAAACTCTAGGGTTGCACTAACCCTTTAGCGCTCCAAGCTCTCTTTACCATACAAACCTGGGGTTGCATCAACTTACAATAAGTAGAATCGTATCAAGGTACCACGTTACTAAACCAGCTCTACCATCAAGCATAGGGTCGTAATGAGTGATTAATGAATAAAGCAAACTCTAGAATACTGATATGACTCTTTACTTACGTATCAGCATACAGACGTGGTGCGAGTTGCCAAACCTTAGGAGAGCTATGTTCGAAACGTTATTACATTCTTGATTTTATGGCAATGAGAAAATAATTTAACAAGTTCTACGGAAATGTTTTTAGTTCCCTGCATAGTTTCAGGGGGTAGTTGAGAAGTCCATGCTCAAATACCAGCCTACCCAACAACCTTAGCGTATTGGCTAAATATACTTGAACGTTTTTGCTCCATCTACAGAGAGGGTGGTATGGACGTAAGTCTGTTTAAACGCCTTTCAGAACGACACCCACACGCGGTTGTTAGCTTAGAGCATCAGTATCGAATGAATGAAGACATCATGGAGCTGTCGAACACACTGATCTATGAACACAGGCTTAAATGTGGTACGCAAGGCGTGGCAAGGGCAGTCTTGGAGCTGCCGAACTGGGACGAATTCTTTTGTTATATGAAGGAGAATACGGCCAATATCAAAGGTATGCGACACTGATGTTCTCAATTCTCTACTGTAATTTGCGTTGGTCGATGTTCATTTTGTTTCTATGTGGCAAGGTATATATTAGCTCTTAAAGTATTATACATTGGGGCCCCCACAATTTTTTTGTTCGGCGAGCGGATCTTTCTCTTTCGGTAAGAGTATACCGTAAAAAATTATCTAAAGAGGTCCCCGTACACTTATCGGGGTAATTCTTAGTGATTATTAGCTGCCTTCCTTGCCGAAAAATTCGAGTGCTGAACAAACGATGGACAAATCGGGATAGAAAATTACAATCAATTTTAACTTTTCAACTTGAGGCGTAACATCTCTAATATTCTCCTCACTCGCAAACTAAAAGTATAAAACATACAAGTCTCAGTAATTGTAGGTCAGGGGTATTATAAACAAGGGGTATTATAAACACGTCATCCAAACTTTGAAAGAATTTACTCGAATATTTATCCATTCTCTCCCCCTACAATCGCGGAAAAAGATTGTTGAGACAAATTTTATTTTGGTCGAGCAGAACTCAAAGGAAACAACACTGAACGGAAGTACGGTGCCATTTAAGCATGTGTAAGGAAAGTAACTGAAACTTTATCTGAGATATTTTAACAGATTTTTCCGCCTTTGTAGGTAACTGGATACTAGACACACTCTTGCCCAGTCGACCGGTGGTGTTCTTAGACACGGATAGGGTCCCCGCGCCTGAGTCTCGTTCAGAGCACTTGGTGTCAAACGAGACAGAGGCCGCGATCGTTCACCAACTAGCTTGCGCACTCTTGAAAGCCGGCCTCCAGCCTGCATCACTCGGTATAATCTCTCCGTACAGGCACCAACTCAAGCTCATAACGCAGATTTTTCATCGAGACGCCGACACCAAACAAAACGAAATCGAGATCAACACCGTGGATAAATATCAAGGTCGAGATAAAGCCTGCATCATTGTGTCTTTAGTTCGTAATAACGAGCACTCCAACGTGGGAGACCTGCTAAGGGATTGGCGCCGAGTTAACGTGGCGGTAACTCGTGCGAAGCGGAAATTGATTTTGATTGGTTCGCTCATGACACTGAAAGGTAGCTTGCTACTCCAGGAGCTTTTTGACCTGCTGGAGCTAAAAGACTGGGTGCAAGTTCTACCTTACGATGGGCAAAAGATGTTCGAGTTTTTGACAAAATCTTTCCAGACTTCTCCCAGTAAGAGCCTGGAAACCCTGTGAACCTACGAAAAGAATTTAAAGTATTTGCCAAACTTTTGGCGTAGTCATTACTCGCAAATTGATGCTTCAATTTATTAATTGCTAAGGATTGGTTATCGCTTGTCGAATGATAATTTTTGTGTGGTAAAATTCCTTGTTTCGTTGTTTATTACATTTTTTTCGCTGGCCAAAGAATATTTGTATTGAGTTTATTATCACATCGTAATTTCAGATATGTTAACATAACTGTCAGTTAACGATGACTTGTATAGTGAAACGGAAAGGTCTGTCACGTTCTTTTCTGTATGTATTGTATCCTCCTTGCCGTGATGGTTTAAGACCCGTAAAGAGGGTGCTGAATCGAAACGCGCCAGGGATTTTCCTGGCCAACTCAGAAATATTGACAGTTCCGTGTTCTCTAAATTTTGTAAAAGTGACTCAGCCCACTGTTACGTCTTTGGTTCACAAACGCCATCGGACATTCCGCGAAAAAAGCTAGTACTGATTTAAAACTCACTAACCCGAGGAATTTTTCAAGGATCTTCCTTAGAATAAAGAAAGACATATGCATGTAGCAGCAAGCTTACCCCTAAGAAGTACACGGCCGTTGGTTGTTTCTTGCTACTAGCCGCGAGAATGCGTAGCTTTAAGCACTAACGTCTATGAATTACCAAGTAAGTCCGTCTGATATCCAATCTCCGTAAAGTCTTCGTGAGCCCAATGTTCGGGAAACCTATAAAGCCAACCAGTGCGCTCGTGGCCAAATCCTCGACTGGTTTCCGTCGCCAATCAAGAATGAGACCATCGACGGCATTGACTCGTTATTTCTCGCCACTTGTTGAATACCTTTTGTGGTATTGGAATTGATTCTGCTTCCACAAAAGATTATCACAATTACTTTCAATAAAACCAATCAAAACATCGAGTAAACAGAAGCAGTGGTTTAATCTTAACTAAACATTAATCATCATTGACAAGCTGCTTACAGCTATAAGCCGTTATCTTTTCTGTTTCTTTTTAACCAACTTTGATTGAAAATAAAGTAAATTATTTCGTTCAAAGTTAACTTTTACCCGTCGGGTCCCAAAATATAACAATCATTTAGTTTCTTTATGAAATCAAGATACTTTAATACTCAAAGGATTATATTAAGTAACGTTTAGTTTATTTCCCCGAACATGGAATCTCGTTGATACTATTAGTAACACTTTTAGTTGGCCTTATGAACAAGAGTGATGATGACTTTCCCATCTCCTTGTTTCACACCCTTTCCCTTTTCCTGGTCGGCGCCGCCGTTGAAAGACCCTCCCCCTCCAGCGATGGTATATTTGCGATCCTTTACAACGCCCCCGCCCGAGTACCCACCGCCTGCGCCAGGATAATGATATGCCGCTCCACCTCCCCCAAATCCCCCAAGTCCTCCACTTCCCACGTATTTCACTCTTCCTCCTTCTCCACCGACTACAAAACGCTTTCCCCCTTCAGTAAGGTGTCCTGATTCTCCATCTTCTTTTAAGCCACCTCCCGCCCCGCTTTCAAAAGAGGCTGAAGGATATCCCCACTCATATAATTCTCCCCCAGCTCCTTCAGAACCCCCATGTCGGGAGCCAGTTCCGGTGATTTGCCCAGGGTCTCCATCGTTCGTTGTCCTCCAATGTGCATAGCCTCCACCCCCACCCCCGGCAATGATGAATGGAATATCTGATAAAGAGGTAATAAAAGTACCCCCTCCCCCTGCCCCTGGTAAATACGCGCCTGTGTCACTTCTACCACCTGTTTGGCCCACAAGTATTTTAAGGGTTGTTCCGCGAGTAAGATTGAAAGTTCCTTTCATATAAGCGCCTTTCCCACCCGCAGCTATGCGACGGTCCCCTTGACCGTAACCGCCTTCACGGCCATCAGCTCCAGATGCTCCCCAGGCCTCTATGACGTAAGACCCAGTAAGCGGTACTTGCCATAATTGGATACCGTTTTGTAACGTCACCTTGCCCTCTAGTGGGGTACCTTGATACCCGTATGTGAATTTTGGACCTGTAGGACCCAGTGCACCAAGAGTCGTGAATGTGAAATTGGTACGGGCTGCCATGAAAGAAAGAGGCAGACGTTAAATCGAAGAAAGTTTCTTCCATTATTATCTTATTATTACCTTCCAGATTAAGAAAGTCTCTATATCATTTTGTTAAGGTCGTTTTATCAGGTGAAACCAAGTCTGCACCATCTTCAGGCCTGCGTACGGTATACTCCTTTCAGCGAAAACTGACATGCATCCTACTTGCGATTTTCGTTCACCACATAGTGACACACAAAAAAAAAACGTCGTGGAATGTTGGAAAATGTTTTTGACCCTATTGACGTATAGCAGCAGCGAATGCTAAATGTTTCACTCTCGGCGAGAAAGGCAACCAATTAAGTTCTATTGTAATGATCTTCGGAAAAACTGGGTGTAGATTCGAACAATTTTGTCTCAGGTGATGATATAGGCTGTTTTGATGACGACCTCTTTCAGTTTTATTTGCAAATAATGCAGGTCCTATCACTGGTTTAAATCAGTGTTGACACAGCAGTTCCCTATATGACAGCCTCTAAATAAGCACATTCCCAAAGGATTGTTTTTTATTTAATCAACTCTCTAACATTTTACCTTCAAGTGTGTTGTTGCTCCCTATTGATGAGTCTTCTGTACAGTGTTTACCCTGAGAAGACATTAGATCTACGTAAATAGATACCCTATTCTCCAAACCTGAGCTATATTTGCATGGCAAGTATATCAAGTATACCAAGGTTGAATTTAAGATCTGTCAGTAGGTGATTCAAATTTGTAGCCAAAACCGTGTAGAATTTACAAAATTTTTCACCTGCTTGAATCCTCTTCATTTACATATAGAATAGAGCCTTTTCGCTTGCAACCCCTAAAGATTATTGATCATTTCAGGTTTTACGAACTCAAAAGTTTTTGTCCAATTACTTGCAAAAAAATTGTGTATCATTTTTTTTCATTTGCAGGCAATCCTGGGTAATACTTGGCAAAATAACACGCTTATGCGCGAAATAACGCTACGCTGTATTTTGTTTTTGTTTTCGTTTTTTTTCTGGCATATAGTCAAACACTTTCAAAAGCTAACCTTGGAGTTTGAAGGCCTATAATGTGCCTGCAACAAACAAACAAAAAAAAGAAATATAAAAAGGAACAGTATTACCTTACAGCATCAATGCAAAACGACATGAATATACTTCAAACACATGAAAGCTTTGATATCATACCGTGAGATTAATCAGCTCAGCAAAGATGAATCCCGACGTAGGTACGAGAGAGGTATAACCACGGGAATCCGTGCCTTTGTCGTTCAATTCACAAACCATATTTCCTTCGTTGTTTCTGTAATTCAACGAGCGGCAAATATGACGTCTTTTCAGGCAGAGCTGTGCACATGATAAAACACTTGGTGCTTTCCGTCGATCTATGACATGACCGACGAGGTGGAAACCCTCCTTTATCTGCAAGGAGGATAAGTGGCTCTGGCTTCTTGGTGGAGATGAACACAAGATAACTGTCTGTAATAAGATGGCAAGATTCATACTAAGAACTTAAGAAGAAGAGAGTGAATTTCCCCCGCGACATTTCAAGGGAGTAACAGCGATTCATTTCATAATGCTTTATACAGGTGTGGGAGCTAATATCATTCATTGCACGAGTTAAGTTTACCCAGTGATATAGTCGCAAGTTCGTTTTCGGCTCAATAATTGAGCTGTTGATGACGTTTTCAACAACTGTGTGGTTAATAGAGCAACATTGTCATGTTGTGTCATTGTCAAGTTTGTGACACCAAGGTAAAGGTTGAATTTCATATCTCATTTCCGAATCAAGGTGATTTTTCTAAAACATTCTGAATCATCGTTATTCAGCGAAAATTTTATATTATTTTATAGCTTTTTTGAGTTTCGATCCCCGTTGTACATTTAAACAATAGCCTCTATTTGGCTCGAAAATATGCTCGGACATTTGTCCGCGGACATAATCTGTTCCGAGACGCGAACAGTTTTCTGAGAGCGAGGAAAACTGTGAGTTACGCGGAACATATAATGTCCAAGGACAAATACACGACCATGTTTTCGCCCCAAATGTTGGCAACTTAGTATCCATCGAATATTTTTGCAACGCACGGAGAAAAATGTTTACAAAAAGCTTACCGTTTACTGCGGGGGATGTTTACTTTTCAGTGTTCTCTGGTATGACTTTATCAACATACAAACACGTCCTTTTCGTTGTAACAACAGCTAAGCGCTCGCTCATCTTGAATTTAATGTTAACACAAAGACTGTTATCCTTGTGGACGTGAAATCGGCAGGCTACGGGGTACGAACTGACAGTAAATTTGAACTGCAGTTGAATGAACCTTTTTGGGAAAAAAAATCAAGCAACTAGGAAAAAGTTTTCACCGAGGTGGACATTTGTCAATGGATGTGCAAATAGTGATTATTCACAATAAAAAATAAAAAAAAGTGAAGTGGGGCTTCCTCAACCTGACATTGACCAGGCTGCGCGGAGTCTTTTTCCTCTTGAGGACTCGACGAAAAAAGAATTGCGAGGCCAAACTGTCTGACACTGCACAGGAGAAATCGACTATACGGTCTAACCTGTGCTCCGCGTTTAAAGAATAAACGTGCGTCTTCTTTCGTTTACGAGAATGAACGAACTTTCGACCGAAAATGAACATATCTATTTTAATTGTTTACTTTTATCTCCCTTTCATCTCCTTTATCTCCCTTCGTTGCTTGTGATACAATAATCATTATTGGAAGGAATCCTTCTCTAATCGTTTTTTACAGATTTTTTTATTCTTTGACAGCAGTACAGTTTACCAGCAACTTTGATGTTTGAAGAAAGCGACAAAACTTCTGAGTCTGTAATACATGTTTCGACAGAAACTTCTGTCATCTTCAGTTAATTAATGTACACAGCGTTGGAAGTTGAATTTATAGTAAGTAAACAAATGCTAATTATGATAAATGGTGACAATGCCTGTTACGTCGGTGAAACGTGCCAGCACTTAGTCAGTGACAGGGCCTCTCACGTTTTCAAAGCATCTGCAAGATTCTGCACATTGTCGCGCTTTGTGTTCAGCGGATAGCTCCCATGTTTTGAATCACGCCCCTACCGGTTTTAAACTCAAGACAAAAGAGGCTATTCATATTCAAAGAGAACAACCATCCTTGAATCAACAACTACATATGTAAATCTAAAACTATCCATTTAATCCTCACACTTTCATGCTTTACCTCTTTTCTTGTTGTCATCGTTTATCATAATTAGAATTTGTCCACTTACCATAAATTTAACTTCCAACGCTTTGTACATTAATCAACTGAAGATGACAGAAGTTTCTGTCGAAACATGTATTACAGACTCAAAAGTTTTGTCGCTTTCTTCAAATTCTTGACTTGCCTGCTAATATCAAGACCCTTTGAAAACTTTAATGTTCTTGTGAGAACCTCGTTAACTTGAAGAATCAATATTAATTTTGAAACTTTCCTCAATGATTGTCCTACCCATACAACCCAAATCATACTTCAAGCACAGCCTCAGCGGTGTCAGTTCAACTTAGCAATTACAGAAAAACATCACCAGCTGCTACTGACATGGAATCGCAAGAAATTATAATTTTTTATTTGAAGTGAAACTCTCTTTATATGATAGCATTGTAATGCTACTAGACGAATTCATCATCCGGCAGCCTCCAGAAGTGTGATGGTCACCTTTCCATCCCCTGCCAATCCTCCCTCCTTCTTCGGGTTAGCACCCGTGTTAAAAGACCCTCCTCCGCCAGCGATGGTTTCTATTTTATCCTTCACAACGCCCCCGCCTGAATACCCACCCCCTGCCCCGGGATAACGCCATGCTGCACCACCTCCCCCAAACCCTCCATGGCCTCCAATGGGGGAGTTCCCTCCTTTCCCTCCTTTTATAAATCCTTTTCCCCCTTCATCGATCCGGCCAGACTTCCCATCCCCGTTTAACCCGCCTCCCGCTCCACATAAAAATGAGGCTGACGGGGAGCCCTTTTCGTAAAGGTTTCCTCCAGATCCGTAAGCGCCTCCTGCCTGTGACCCATTCCGTGTGGTCTGGCCTGGATCCCCTTCATGGAAATTTCCTGGCTGCGCAACACCTCCTCCCCCTCCACCAGCAATAATCAATGGAACGTCTGCGGAAGAAGTGATAAACGTCCCCCCTCCTCCTCCTCCCGGTAACGGTAAACCAGTTTTCCCCTTGCTGCCAGTTTGTCCAACGAGAATTTTGAGTTCCTTTCCACGTGTGAGATTGAAAGTTCCTTTTACGCAAGCGCCTTTTCCTCCTGGTCTTGTGTCCGAGGAAAACTTGTCAGACCGGCCTTCAGCTCCGGATGCACCCCAGGCCTCTATGACGTAAGATCCGCTTAAGGGTACTGTCCATAATTGGATGCCGTTTTCAATCCGAACCTTCCCTTGCAATGTTGTGCCTTTATATCCAGATGTGCCTGTTGGCCCATTCGAACCCACTGCGCCAAGAGTTGTGAAGGTGAATTTGAAATCTGAGAATATGTAAACAGTCCCATGCTTACTATGTGGGATCAGAGGATCCTAAGGCATATCATAGAGGACTAATTCTCACTTTCCGAACGGCTTTGTTCTGCTAACGGGAACGAGGACACTACAGAATCTTTTGGACTGACGTATATCCCTAAGAATTACCTGGTTGGATGAGTTTAACAGCACTTGGTGTAATGTTTCGTTCTAGTAGTCTTCTTTATTTGATGAAATATCTACTTTGTATGAAGCAAATGCATTAAATCTTTTGATTTTTTTCACTTCGTGCCTACTAGCAACTCTCCAAACTAGCTAAATCCATATAGTTAATTTTAGTGGGTACAGTTTGACACAGCAAGACAGAACAAGTGAATAGCTCACGACTCCTGTTTGTACTCGCCACATGCGAATGACGCTGCCTTTACTAATGACATAGCTAAGTATCTTGAATAACAATAACTTACCCTCACACAAACCTCGAGTCTTGTCATTACCAAAGCTATCCGTGGTGGAGCACCACAGCCCGAAGTTGTCAACTACGCACGAGTGCCGATTTTCCCCCTGGTAAAGGAATGGAAACACACAGCAACCTCCATCTTTGGTTCGCCATGTTTTACATTCTGCGGGAGTTGGTGGTGGCAGAATTTAGTGTTTTTAGTGTTTAAATGGAAAGGAAACATATCCTACGCAATTACGCAGGTCTAAGGATGGTGGTACGAGTTCCTCTCTGATCATAAGTCTTAATGGAAAAGAAACATGGCACCCAAAAGTTCATGTTCATTGTAAGCGACTGAGTTGGCATAGTTACTTAATTTGACTATATCCGAACTTTTTCCTGATATAAAAATAATAAAACAACTAAGCTTTTGTTGACTTTATTCCTTCACCTGGCAACCCTCACTGAAAAAAGATCGTTGCGTGGTTAGAACATAAGATCTTGTATGTAAGGAAAGTTCTGGTTATCATGTGAACACAAGAAAGTGATCTTTCCAGAATAAAGAACACATTCTTATGAACGGCTGTCACAGCCACATCGAGTAAAACACTCTTTCCAAAAGGTTAGATCACGTCAGCCTGCGGTTATTTTGCTATTCATTCTAGACACTTTCCCGTTCAGCCAATAGGCCCAGATCTGTTTCACCCTTTACACCCTAACATCAGTATGTATATTCTCCATACTGTTCTCTTTACATTTCCCAAGGTGCTGGCAAGGAGAATTTGATAAACAATCCAAAGCTTCTATACTTGTTATCATTTCCTTTATTCTCGTGACCTTAATATGTGATTTAGGGGTGATATTGTAAGGAGAAAATAGAGGCTAGTCACTCTTACGAGTCATCAGTAGGCCAACTCACCTTTAAATACTTTCTTGGGTCCGTGAAGATGCCCACAAAGCCATCCGGGTTCGTGGATTAGTTTCAAACCATCGCTGGATGTTTTATATAACTCACAGATTCCTCGGTTCACTGAAGAAGAGCCGTAATTGAATACAAGGCAGAGTGGTTCCGATAAACATTTTTGCGAGCAAGATAGGACACTTCGGCTAGTCTGGCGGCTGATTATTTCGTTTGACTCAAGTTTGACGTTCTCATCTGTGTTAAAAAACGCCGATCTCCTAATCATTTCGCTTCTTCCCGATTGCAGAAATACGAACAAAATTGCTTGAAACACAAACATGGTAGAAATTGCAGTTCTGTTTTTTGCTTCCAGATAGAACATCGATAGTAACTAAAAGGAAATAAGTTTTAAATAAAGTACACAGAGAGAAGTCAACATTTGCTTTTTGTCACCGTTTATTACTTTTTGGCTACATGATTGATCTGATTCTTTTTAGACTTTTTAATTTGCAGTTTATTACCCGTCAGATGTTTTCCTGTTTGTTCAATCGTTTTGTGTGCTTTAGCTAAACATAAATGTTCATAAATAGAATAAGAGAGATGGTAAGTTCTGAGCTCGGTTAAGAAATAGACAAAAAAGATGTTTTTCGTCTTGTCACGAGCGTGGACCAAAGAAAAAACTCTGAGTCCCCATGAGGCAAACGAACCTAAGACCCTTTACGTTTTACAGCATCGGAGCGCGGAATCGACCCGAAGGTCTGAGGTTCGATTCCTCCTGGAGACTCAGAATTTTTCCTTCGTACCACGCTCAAGACAAGACGAAAAACATCTTTCTCTATAAATGTTTATCTTCAGGTTTCTTACAATATGAGTTGTCATAGTTGGATTTCTCTCATTGGCACTGTTTCACTCATATTTGGCGAGCTTCTCGCGAAAGCTGTGGGATGTCTGTGAGCAGTCTGGCTTATTTCCTCGTGCCAAACCTCTTGAACACCTTCTGCTAGCAAAGCGGGCTGGATCGAGTCTCTCGGATTTCGAGAGAACTGTACCTGCGAGATGCTTGAGCAAAAGCAGCAATGAGAGGGGGCACTATAGCGATATTTTTTCCAAATCTCCCTGATAGATTTCTTTGTGTTTGAACAATTAGTAAGCAACGGTGCTTCTGGTACAATAATCTTGAATTCCTCTCAAATTTGTTATTTGTAGCATTTTGGCTTTTTTATATTTTACAGCACTACACTTTACACGAACCTCAAGTTAAAATTATATTTGAGGTGAAACTTTCCATGTTTTTCTCTCGGAACAAGCTTTGGTAATGTTACTATACAAATTCTTTATCAGCCTCGAGAAGTTGAATTATCACCTTCCCATCCCCTCTCAATCCTTCTTCCTTCTTCGGGTTAGCACCTGTGTTAAAAGACCCTCCCCCGCCAGCGATTGTTTCGTTCTTATCCTTCACGACACCCCCGCCCGAGTACCCACCCCCTGCCCCAGGATACCGCCATGCCGCACCACCTCCCCCAAAACCTCCATGGCCTTCAATGGGGGAGTTCCCCCCTCTACCTCCGTTTATAAATCCTTTTCCCCCTTCCCTGATCATGCCAGACTTCCCATCCCCGTTCAAGCCGCCTCCCGCTCCGCATTCCAATAAAGCTAGCAGGGAGTTCTGTTGGGAAAGGTTTCCACCAGATCCGTTAGAGCCCCCTGCCTGTGACCCATTCCGTGTGGTCTGGCCTGGATCCCCTTCATGGAAATTTCCTAACTGCGCAACACCTCCTCCCCCTCCACCAGCAATAATCAATGGAACGTCTGCTGAAGAAGTGATAAACGTCCCCCCTCCTCCTCCTCCCGGTAACGGTGAACCAACTTTCCCTGTGCAGCCAGTTTGTCCAACGAGAATTTTGAGTACTTTTCCGCGTGTGAGAACAAAAGTGGCTCTTACATAGGCGCCTTTTCCTCCCGCTCTTGTGGTTGCTGACACGTCAGAAGATTGGCGGCCTTCGGCTCCGGATGCTCCCCAGGCCTCTATGACGTAAGATCCACTTAAGGGTACAGTCCACAATTGGATGCCGTTTTCAATCTTAATTTTCCCTTGTAATGTTGTTCCTTTATACCCGTATGAATCTATTGGCCCATTCGAACCCACCGCACCAAGAGTTGTGAAGGTGAATTTGAAATCTGAGAATATGTAAACAGTTCCATGCTTACTATGTGGGATCAGAGGATAACATAGAGGACTAATTATAGGTAAACACTTGCATGCTTAGGTGTAATTTTGAAACAGACGCGTGTGGACCAGAGGCTCCTATGGCATATCATCAGAGATCAGTTCTCGCTTTCAGAACGACTTTCGGGTAAATATTTTGGACTGTAGCATGTTCCCTAGAGTTGACCAAGTAATCAGCACTACAAACATCACAGAAGGGGAAAAGCGATTGAATTCCATCCACTCTCACGATTTCGCAGTAAAATCCGTTTCTCTAAAACGTTAAGTTGCTTAGGAATGATCCAGAAACTCGTTCAATCTTTTCGTAACCTCTGGTAATTTCATTCAAACTTATGAAAACATATGCAACTTCTTGCTCGGAATTGCACTCCAAACAAATGGTAAACCTGGAACCTTCAAATGCGCGCACACGATGCAAAACTTCTCCTTTCATATAAAACGTTGAGAAAATATCGGGACCCAAGCGATCCATAAAGATCCTTGATAAATTCACCTGAACCTCCTTCTGTGTCATCTATTGCATAACTTACACTTATTGCAAAAATTTTTATATGGACGAAACGGGAAGACGACTAGGAGACCGATTCCGAGAACACCTTCGTGCCGTTATGACAAAGACGCATCCAAGCCAGTGGCTAGACACCTTCATTTGCGGCCTTTCCCTACAACTAGGCAATTCGGAAAGCAGCAAATCTCTACGAACATCTAGAGAACATCAAATCTCTACAGAAAAAAATTTGTCTGTCAAATGGGCACTCTTAATCCATATGATATTAACCAACGCTTTTCATCCGACTAATTTGTTCTTTTTTTTCACGTTACCATGTTCCTACCAATAGCGTATCATCTTTTTCTATATAATCCACACACAACCCATAATTTCTCTATTCACTCTTACGATGGAGTAGCACTCGAAACGTCAGCCCTAGAAACTAGGTTATAATTACCAAAGCCTTTCTCCACAAGGGATTGAAGGACAATGCTTATTAGTAAACAATCTGCGTTAGTCTCACCTGGCGTATTACTGCCTGTACGAGCACTCACTCTAGAATGAACAATCTGTCCGTGAAACCATCCTGGCCCATCTATGTAACCGTTATTATGGTCTCTACTGGTGTCTTTTAACAGTTCACAAACGCCCTCTGTCTCGGTTGAAGCTTTGTAATTAATATATCGGCATCCCTCTTTCCTTAAGCATAGGTGTGCGCATGAAAAGAAGCTTGTAGTCCGCTGCCATTGCATAGAGTGGCCTTTAAGAAGAACACCTTCTCTTATGGACAGAAACGATTCGACAAGCTTAGATGAAGTACTTGATGCCATCAACAAAATGACAGTAAATGCGTATAGAAGATGATTCTGTGAGGTGATCATGCCCTAAATTCCTGAAACTAAATCACACACAAACGTCACTTTCGACTACTCTATATTACTATTATTTGTTGATGAAAATACAGTGACGAAAATTCTTCTTGAAGAGCAAGCATGTCTCCAAGACTTCATTTAATCATGTGGTGTCTGTGGCTCGTAATTTTCCCAACCTAAGAACCTGATTGATCTTCCGATGAAAGATAGGAGTAAGATGGACTTAAAAAGCATTAAAAGATTAATGTCCGGTAGCCATACAGAGGCTCGGTATTTAAAGCGCCATTTTAGGACACTAATTTTCTGGTCTCCATAGACACCTTTGGCAGTTGTAGTTGATTTTTACCCCTGTAAAACCATTGTAGTTGCTTTTTTTCATTCTTACCAATAAGGAATATTATCCTTTCCCTTAATCAGTTTTGCGGTTGGAAATCACAGTTTCATACTCATTTTATTTACTCTGCCGAAGCAAGTCAGAATGATTGACAGTGTTGTATTTTGTACGCTTTCCCGGAACGCGGGAAAAGTTCGGTAAATAATCTTAAGTGATATGATTTGTTTCTTGCTCTGCAATGTTCTTAACCATAATAGCAAACAAAATCTAGTTTTTTCCATGACCTCTGATGCTCCTTATTTAAAGAAACAGTGGACTCCTTATAAAATATTGCCAACGATCACTTAAACGAGTGATTTTTTATATTATGGCGACGCAGGACAACAAACTTGACCAAGTTGTGATTAGCTTGTTGGATGTGATCTTCGTGCCATCGGAACACCTCGTCATGAATGTTCAGGTTTGAATTTTGTTATTCTTTCAGTATCTGATCCTCTCCCTGTTGCTGTCCTCCTTCAAATATTTCCACAGCATTCGGCGGTCCATAACCTTTCGTTTCAATTTTTTGGACTTCAGAGACGAGTAAATAAGTGGATTAAGGAATGAATTTAATACGACTAATGAAAGAAATAAGAATGACACTGCCACTCTTGCTTCGATAGAGATATTGTCAGAAGTAAATTCTCTGACACTCGTTGTTGGTTTGGTTGATTCTTCTTTAATATCTTTTCTTCTCAAGTTATTACAACGGGGACTAACTCCAATATAACAGGGAAAACTAGAGTCTCCGCTTATAAAAGTGACACTGCGGATGACATTTCTAAGCCGTCAATCTTCTTGTGTCGTCATCGTACCATCTCAACTAGCGAATCAAGCTTGACTACTTATTATAGTTCCCACATACTGAGTATGCACCTTAGGGTTGTTTACGCAGTTACAAAATCAATTTCTACCTTAATTTTCGTATCTTTACGGTTGAGATCTGCCAGAACAGAAACGAGATTGACAATATAAAAATTACAAATAACCTTGGTTCAGAGTATTATTTATACCTGAAAGGGTATCTTAAGAGAAAATTACCTTTAAAGATTGTTACATAACAACATCTTGGTCACAAGAGTTAAAGAAGAAAGGCGCTCACAAGTACCGCCCCCCAAATTTGCTTTCGGTTGCGGAACATGAGGGGTATCACCTGTTTACACCTTAAATTACCTCTGGGAACAAGAAGGTGTCGAACGCGACCTATTACCAGGGAGATTTAATCTTCCTGGACTAACAAATCAACTTATTTAAGAACATGGCTTATCACGAGTTCCATGTCAACCTCACGATCACAACGAAGAAAACGTGATTAAACTCACTAGGAAAACGTGGCCAAACTCACAAGAAGAACGTGATCAAACTCAACCTTTAAGATAAGACCACCAAGAAGGAGTACGAAGTAATCAACCTGCCCTTTTTATAATTTACATTGAATGACTTAAAATAATGTAATATTTCCATTCCTTTTCTTTCAGACACCAATACAGGAAACCCTTACGATATTGTAGATTAACTATAATTGCAATTTTATCATTTAACAATATCACTTGGTAGTTTTTTTTAAAAATAATCCTGAGAACGATAAGTGGCGAGTAACTAAACAGAAGCGCTGCAACAATTGTAGTGGTTAGTTTGAAAGCCTTTTTGTCTTTCTGATATTTCTACATTGTCTCTTCTGTAACTTGCTGCGTTGCAATTTTCTTTTGGTGTCTGCGAACTTCCGAGTACACTGTTAACTGAAAATTATTGTAGATGGTACAATGCCCGTAAAAGAGATATTGATGGATAAAAAAATAATGATACATCAAAAACAAGGGGAATATTAAGAATCAAGGAAAATGACCATGTTAGGCTGGAAGCAACCAGTAATCTCCCATGAGATTTTAAAGGATGTATTCAGGTGGGAGGGGTTAGGGTTCCTATGTTTGCATTCATCGCTTATGTGATAATTTATCCCGATGTCTCTTCTCACGGGACGAACGTGTGCTTTTTCCCTTTCACTGGAAAGTTCATGGGCAAGTTTGCAAGTGTTTTATAAGCACTCGTTTATATGTACATCCTTTTCTCTTTTCGCCATAGAAAATATTTCAGAAATAACTGAGTTTAACTTTGACCAATTAACGAGCCAATTGCTAAGGAAAACCTTTCGCTTCTTTTTGAGATACATCAGTAAATCCAGTCTTTGAATTAAACTGCAAAACTATTGTAAGTGCCCCTAAGGCACGGGTTTATCCCTTGTTTTGATTTAGTAATCGTTTAATTAATAATCTGTAAAAGTCACACTAGGTGCCTCGTCACGCGTTCCGTAAGTGGTATCGCATTTCCAAACAGAACGGATCTATTGTGCAATTCAATAATTCGATCGATTTCGCAAGCACTCGTGGTTTAATAGAAAGAAATTGTCTGTCGTTTTTATCGAAGGAAGGAAAGGTCTCTTTTGTGTCAACTCTCGCCAGATCCGGCAACAATCTTCACGGTCAAATACGACATTTAATAAAGGAGGCGTTCCATGAAAGAAATTGGGGCGATATTTGTTGTGACGATCAGTGAGATTCGTACGGTCCAGCTAGCGGCGATCAAGCGTCGCTATAACTATTCCTGAATTTTTTTCTGAAAGTACTACGAAGCACTTTTCAACACCACTTATCTTATCATGGTGCTTTTCTTTCAGACCTTTAGCAGTAAGGATTTCATATTTTTTCGTTCCGTAATTTCGTCACTCTTGATTTCGGACGTCGACCTTTTAAAAAGTGGTAACTACTTTACATGGTAAAAATTCAAGTTAGTTCCAAACTCCCTTGGCGAAAAATCTAAGAAGAAAATTGTTCTCTACTCTTTGTAACTCGTTTCATTTATAATGAGAAGGCTGTATATTTTTACTCCCCACGGTTTTACGGAGCGAAAGCCCACGCAATCTTCAGGACAAACTGGAGGTTGTCAAATAGTAGATAACGAATTTCGATTTGGTTTTAATTGAGGTTTGAATGACCATTGTGAAGCTCATTAAATCTAGATTTAGGTCCTTCTTTGCCGATAAGGAATTTCAAATTTCTCCTTTTTTCAAGATCAGCTATTTCCGTTTCAAGAAACCATATATAATTAAAATTTTTGCAATACAGACCAAGATCTAAGAATATGAAGTCCAGCTGCATTTTTAAGCACTTTTCGCCGAGTAAACCGCCATCATGATCAAAGTCATTTAAATGAAAATGTTTTTAACAACATTTTTAGTATCCCATTGTTTAATTTCAGTTTTGGGGCTTTGGTATCAAACCAGACAACTTTCCTAAGTTATTTTTTTTTCTTTCTTCTCATCTCATTTCTGCTTGAAATGCAATGATACTGTAGCGAGAAATTCTCAGTTAGTCATACTTGGAAGTGAAAGGGTTAAAGCCAGGAAAGCAATCTTTTGGACATTTTAAGACATTTTGTTATTTAGCTCAAAATTTGCGCGTGGAACTTAAGATTTTACGTAAAGTACCTTAGCTCTAACGTCACCTTATTTCAACAAGCTTAGCACTGGTCCTTAATGTTTACCCCAGTGGAACTAAGAAGACCATGAACTGATGAAGTGAATCGAGAGGGTTTTTCTTTTCACCAACACTCCAAAATCTCACCTTGTTACCAACATAGAGCAAAGCTTATAACTTCAATGCGTGGACTTTTACCAATCGATTGTGGAAAAGCAGTTCAGTTTTCTATGTGAAGTTCCTCATTATTAAAGCCACTTTTTTGTCAAGCTCATTTTGACAATCGCAAAGCAAACAGAAAATTGAGGAAAACTATCATAGGTTTTATAAAATTGACAAATAACTGACAGCCTTATTCAATAGGGTTAAAATTGCAAAGTGAATCATAGCAGATGTTTGGCGGCTTATGGTCGAATAAAAAAAAAAGGTTAACACTGCTTTTGTGTCATTGAGAGAAAACCTCGAAAACTTCCCCTTCGAAGCTGCCTATGCTTGGTTTTTCACTCTCAGCAGAGGGGGTGATATTACGCAGACTCGTAAAGTAAGCCGTTGATAAGATGAACTGCGACCACAGCCGCCCATACCCCCTCCCCCCTATGAAAAATCGCCAAAAATCTTTTCAAAATTACCCCCTTTTATCTCGGGCTCCCTTTGAATTCTGTTAAAATTGCCTCTGATTAAGTCAGATCCGCGAGCACAACCATTCACAGCCCGTTACGAAAAATCGCTGAACAAAGTTAACAAAATAACACTTTCTCTCTTACCTCCCCCTATGGTGGGCAAAACTTGCCTCTTCATTGTATGGTGCCTTTTAAATTCACACTATGAAAGTTCCCTCAAATTACCTCTGAGTTAAGACTCGCTACAACGGTCTCTTTTTGATTATCCTTAGAATCACCACTTTTAAATTACTTAAAATTACCCCTCCTAAGTCTCTCTCTCGTTTTTTCTTTTCAGTTATCGCTGTTATTACTCCCTGAGTTGTGTTTGTTCTTTAGTCTGTCAAATAAATTACTCGTCAAATCGAAACCAATATCTCGTATTTGACATACTGGGCTTTCAATCCCCATTCTGTTGCTAGTTATTTACCTTAGAAATAAAACAATTATCCTGGTCATTATTACCACTATGTCTGTTTAATCAGTTAAGTAAATCCAGTAATTTATCAGTAAAAGGTCGGTAAACCGACCTGTCGGCACGACAAACATGGCGGCTTCCTCTTGAGTAAAGCCAAAACCCTGCCATCGCACTCAAAGGACCGAAGGACGGAGGGAGACAAAAAAATAACACAAGTTGCATGAAACTCTGCTTCGAGAGAACCATATATTCTTGACAAAAGCCTGGTTTTGTAAACAACTACTTCTAACCATGGTTTCAACTTTTTTGGAAGCTATTCTTAGCACATTAAAGGCCCCTTGCAATGCAATAATTCCCTCCCCCATCCCCCTCGATCTTTATCCATATTAGCTGACATCCTTAGTCATCTAAAGTTCCGCTAACTGGAAGAAATATAACCAAGCGTTAGTTATGCTTTTTGATTTGAAAGCGGCAAGCTCCCGGTTTAGTTTATGGAGAAAGGCACTGGGTACAACTACAAAACCACGTGACTTCTTCTTCTCGGCCTTTTCTGCTGGAAGAAATAACTAAGAGAACGGACTGCACATCATGTAGGCTTTACAATCTCTTGAAAATCTTTCACATCGTGTTAAAAAACATCAATTATTTTACATAGGGTGAAAGATGGATGTTTCATTGTGATTTTTCTCCGTTTATTTTCAACAGTAAGGAGTTCCGCTCTGAGTATCAAACATGTCTGACGCGGAAGGGTACGTGTGAGTCTCCGTGATTCTGTTAGGTCGGAATGAAGTTCTTTGCTCAAGATTTTCTCTTCATTTCTCCTATACATATTATTTGTGTATTTTGTGTTGATAGAGATGATGTGCCTACCACAACCAGTGTTGGTGAAATGGATGTTAACACAGCTCTTCAGGAAGTTTTGAAGACTGCCCTGGTTCACAATGGCTTGGCCCGTGGCCTGCACGAAGCTGCTAAGGCTTTGGATAGGTAGGTCATTGCATTTACTTTTGTTACTTTCCCGTAAAGTATTATTGCTGTGTTCTATTATTGCAATCGCCTTGATATATAGTCTCTCAAGGGCAATGATTGCAATGAGCTCCAACTGAGGGCTTCTATCTTCTCTTTGGCAAAGTAGGTGATCTGTTGTATCTCCCAAGTTTTGAGATCACGTTCACATTGTGGGAACACTCTTGCAACTGTCATTTATGATTAAAATCTAACTTCTCCTTACAATATCATCTAGTAGGTAGTAAACAGGTGTTAAGAAATAGACAAACTCATCAGCCATGCGGTGTTATCCCAATACGAAAAGAAGTTATCCTTTGTCGATAGGTGGAAGGGAGAGAGGGAGAGAGAGAGAGAAAGAGAGAGCAAGTAATGGGGAACTGGGGCTAATTTTTCAAAAGTTTTTGTTTGCTGTGTTGATATTCGAGACCAAAACTATTGACAGTTGTACAATATCATCCATTGGCATCCACCAACATCTGAGATGACCCTCGGTGTTCATCACATTTTTGTTCAATCTATTTTGGGTTTTTCTCATGATAAATGTGAAATTGTCAATTTTTAAAGAGAATATAGGGATAAGAAGGGAAAGAGATGAGACAGTTTTTTTTTCTGGAATGGTAGTTTTGAATTGGTCTGATCTGTATTCTTTTCTTTTCTTTTCAGGCGTCAGGCTCATCTTTGTGTCCTGGCTAACAACTGTGATGAAGCACAGTATGTTAAGCTTGTTGAGGCCCTGTGCACTGAACACAATATCAACCTTTTGAAGGTGAGGTTATACATATGTACATTATTGAAGTTGCACAATAAATCTTAGTATTTTTCGTAACCCTTTGACCCTTAAGAGTGACTGGCATCTAATTTCTCCCTACAATATCACTGAATTAAACATCAGTGTCACAAGAATGAAGGAAATGATCATCAGCTAAATAAGCTCTTAATTGTTAAACACATTTACTTTGTCAGCACCTTAGGAAATGTATAGAGAACAGTATGGAGAATATGCATACTAATGCCAGGGTGTTAAGGGTTAACTAAAAGAAAGAGTTGGCTTTGGAATGAAACACTGAATGGAATATAACAATAGATTATTATGACTTGTTAACTATTGGGGAGATGAGTTAGCAATGATAAGTCTGGTATTCTTTTTGCAAATTAAGGTTGATGACAACAAGAAACTTGGAGAATGGGCTGGTCTCTGCAAGATTGACAAAGAGGGAAAAGCCAGGAAAGTTGTCAGCTGTAGCTGTGTTGCTGTTAAGGTAGGATTGACATCTTTGATATAAAAGTTTGTTTGGATGAAGTGTTCTTTAAGTGGTGGTACAGTTGAATACCTACATTTGGAAACTTTCTTGACATAGCTGGTTACAGGAATTCCACCATTATATTTAACTGCCTTGCTGTAGGAGTTAATGAATTTCTGTTAAAGCAGTCAGTGTCATGTAACCATGCACTTGAAATATAGTTTCACAAAAGAAAAGTAGATTACTATCTCTGTCAGACAGTGAGGTGTCAATAATAACTCCATACTGGCAGGCTGTTATTTTCCTGATGTTTTAGTGTTAGATAAAGGTGACTACTTTATAGCAGCAGCTGATAGTTAAGGAAGTTGTGAGTTTTCGTGGAATTATCGTACAAAGTTTATATTTAGTAGTGCCATACTGTGATGAAGAAAAGGACTCCCTCTTCTGAAATTTTGTGAGGATATGTCCAAAACCGGAATCGATATTGAAATTCTGAGAAGGCACTTGCTTAAAAGTAGCAGCTTCTGTAAGCACTGTCTATTTTTGTTTTGATTCATTTTCTCTTTGTGTGCTTTTTATTCAGGACTATGGAAAGGAAGGTCAAGCTCATGATGTTATCATGCAGTATTTCAAGAGCAAGCGGGGCACATAAATCTTACATTGACTTGATTGCTTACCAAAGAAATAAAAAAGTGTTAACTTAGACAGGTCTCTTTGTTCATAAGCTATCTCCTGTTATGATGGAATGGCCTGCCACTTTTTGGTGAGATATCTAACAGGACTGTCTGTGGGTATTGCTTGGCAATGGGGATGTGTGCAATTGTTGATCTTTTCCACGTTAAACTTGTACTGCTGGAAAGGGATATGTTTTAAAGTTTTGCAATTTTGTTTTTGTAACTTGCACTTGAATCAAAACATGATAGTAGTCTGTTTTAGCACAAAGCAACATGTCTTTAGGGGTTAAAAGTAGCTGGTAGGGGAAAATGATAAAGACCTTTGTGTCCTCCGGCGAGCTCTTCCTTCTAGATATTCCTGATTCTTCAGCAAACACCCCCTAACTTAGCTAAAAAGCTGTTGACCTTGGAATTATCTTTTGACAGCGAGTATACCATGAACTATTGAAAATAGGTACAACTTTTTAATTTACTGTGCCTTTGAGTATGTTCATCCCCCTTAATTTTCTGTCCTTGAAAAATCTAACCTCTGAGTGAATGGTGGGAACTGTTTTTACCACTAGGTGGTCCAAAATGCAATGGATGTTATCCATACTGAGGCCATGATAGGGGTCAACTCAAGCCAATTCAGTTAATAATGCCTCAAAAAAATTTCTCTAGTTCTCAGTTATGTTTTGATATTTAGAGTTGATTGAACCTCAAATTAGATATGTTCTCCCTGCCTTATCTTGCACTTTGATAATTTTGTCTTTCACAGTTGTAGCTCTTCCAGATTCTTATATTACCCTGAAGTTATTGATGGTCTGTTTACTGGGTTTTAATTTCAAACTTTTTTATGCAAAATAGAGTTAAATTCAGGATCTGAGTTTGTACTTTAAATTCAAGATCAACAGGCTTACCTTCCGTTAATCCGAAAGTGAAACAAAATCGATCTTTTTTGATGGATTTTATCGGTGAGGGATCTAATCCATTTACTTAGGGGAGGGGAACGAGAGATTTATCGTCTGAAGGCCTGGGTGCTAGTTTGGAGTTGGTGTTGATCACGAGATCCGAAAAGGAAACGGGAAGTAAAATTAAGAGATAAAATTAACTATTGAGCAAGATAGCTGAGGAATGGAAGGACAAGGAAAGCCTCCGCCTTATAATTACGGTGCCATTCCAACAGATTCTGGTTATGCAGCTCCACCGCCTTATCCTGCTTCAGGTAATCTACCAAACGTAGATTCGTTGAAGACGCAAAAAAGCCTCTAAGTGAATGGTAAAACCAGGCTTTGGTGTCTGTGATGAAATCTGCTGTCATGACGGCTACTTTACTTCTTAGAAAGGCGTTTCGCTTGGCGAGGATTCTGATGATTTTGGGGAAATTTAGAATCGTTAAAAATCATTAGTAATTGTAGACGTACTCGTACGATCTATTTTGTGAAAGATTACATGTTGTTTGAAGCGCGCGAATGCCTGATTAATTAATGAGAAAGAGGGCATTGAATAGATGCTTATAACATGTTGAAAGCTCCCTTTCTTCCTCCTAATTCATTTATCATCCCACCAACAGCTTCCTTTGTATCGCTTTTTTGCCATCTCTGGTCACTGATGGTTTATTGTCCGAGCAGACGCATGTTCAAATTAGGCAATCATGTTTAAAATACCCCTGTGGCCTGTTGGTTGCTCAGTTACAAGGGCCATGACGATAGGAAACAGTTCTAGCCATCATTTTTCGAGCTGGTTAATATTTCAGAGGCAACGTGATGAACACTAAACTGGTGTCTGTGCCCCTGTTAAGTCTGATCTCACTCTAGCGTATACCTGATAACTAATTTCTCATGGAGGAAAAAATCGATCCATGGCAGCCCTGCTTGACTGAAACATTTCCAAATGCATAGCTTAGCCCCATAATTATACAAAATAGTAGGAACCCATCGAGCCGAAAAAATTTGGATGTATGACAGTACAACTGTACGACTGTATGACCGTACGACCGTACGACCGTACGACCATACGACTGTACAACCGTACAAGGTGCTACTTTTAACATGCGTGGTCAACTGTACCGTGGGCATACCAACGCCACGGCTTTGTCCAGTAGTCCAGTGGTCAGTGCACTGGGCTCTGAGTTGGATGACTCGGGTTCTAGTACTGGCCAGGGTAAGGTGTTGTGCCCTTGAGACGTGTGGAAAAAAAAATGTGAGCTCCGCTTTTTGGCTTGGCCAAATCTATATATTATATCAATTAATAATGGTAATAGGACTGAGTGGAGTCCAATTTGGTCTGTAATCATACATACCTACGTCATGAGTATGATTACGGACAGAATTGTACGACATGAAGTCCCGCTACCAATTAGTCATGACCATTACAATTTCCGAAAAAAAAAAAAATACATTTAGGACAAACATCTCCAGTGGGGACAATGTCTAAAGCAACAAATTTGGAAATTTCCCAGTTCTTTTTTTCAGAACAAGTGGTTTTTGCTATGGTTATTGTGATCAATTCTGTGATTAGTGGATTTAGCAGAGTGACTTAGTATGATTGGCTACTTCAACTGTCTGATTATAGGTGTCTGATTACAGCCCAATGTCTGATTACACTGTCTGATTACAACGATACAGAGTGATTAGTGAAATATAAAGCAGCTGATGCACCAATCACATTTAAGGAAATTTTAATGGTTATGATTAATTTGGGGTCAACCATTTCAGAAGAGAAACTTATTTCTGACAAATCATTTTTTTGGAAAATGCTGGAATTTTTGAAGAGAGAGCTCTAGATGGGTGTTTGTGTTTAAACTACTCAGGAGATCTTCGAAAGTCTTCAGAAATCTCTTAGATCTTTTCATACATACAGGTCTCCAACAAAAATATTTCTTATAGTATTAAAATAAAATCTAATGCTATGTGCTCAGAAAAAAATAAAGTTGGCAGATGATAATAATAATAATAATAATAATGATAATATTTGTATGGGATAACCCCATCAGTGTGATGACACTAGTAACAATAGGTGTCCTATAAGTTAATTACAGTGTTAACATCACAAAAGGTATTACTATATAGTGTTGTAAAGAAAAATACTGAATAAAATCTATCTAAAAATGTTACTATAGTATGACTAAAAGTCCTTAGTATCCTTTGAAAATTCAGTATAGGAATTCTTGGCCTTCAAATGGCAGGTGAGGCTGCTGTACTCTTTTGCCTCAGTAAAATAAAAAAGACTTCTTCTTCTAACCATAGCGTATGAGTATCTGAACAATTTCTTGTTACAATTGTGTGGATAGAGCTATTCAAATGAAAGTAATTATTAAAATATGGTGTTACTGAGCCATCAAGGCATTTTCTCATTAATGAAACTATGTGAAGTCTCCACCCATTTCTTAGTGGTATAAGACCAACAACAGTAGTCAGCTCACTGGCATTCAGACCAGAGTTTGGAAGAATTAAAGTGTTGGCACTGTTCTGTAGACTCTCAAGGGTGTCCTGACTTTGACAGCTTTCTGGGTATAACTTCCTCCTACAAATTGAATACATTGGATAGTAAACAGTTTATGAGGGTTGATAAACTCATCAGCAAGAGTGTCAAAGAGACCAAATTCTCTCAATTCATAAAGATATACATTACATTATCTGGAGAAGCAAACTGTGAATGAAATTGTGGAGTTACTTATTTTCAGAATTGGGATATTCAAGTGACCAATGACTTGTTCATACTTCTTTCATCAATAAAATGAAAAAAAATAGGGACCAACGCAAGAACACAGGAGCAAATGGGATTTTTCCTCAATAAAGTATACTAGTTAATATTAGCAGGTAGTTTATTTATTTATTCATTTATTTTATTTCAGCACCAGGGTATCAACCACCACAGCCTTATCAAGCTCCTCCCCCAAGGATGCAGCCTGTGGGACCCACAACAACAACAATCATTACGCCACCCACTCCTATCATTGTGAACATGGTTTTTGGTGAATCTCCCGTTAGCATGGTCTGTCCACATTGCCAGACACATATTATCACATGTACAACATATCAGGATGGTACTCTAACATGGTTGTCAGCTGGAGCTCTATTCCTTTTGGGGTAAATTGAAATTTGAATCGATCATTTGAACAGTAACCTCAATTAAGTTTAAAAATTAAAAAGTGTTAAGTGACTAATCAATGGAGTCTGGTCATCAGGTCGGGCACTGTGCCTTTCAAGGTCAATTGAGTTCAGACAGTTGTTAGTAAATGATGACAGCACTTGGGTTTTAACTATTTAAAAATGTAATTCTGTCAAAGCCCACTAATCTGAGTGATGTTAACCTATTTAATGGCTCAAAAAAAGAAATAACAAGATGACCTTTTTTGTGAAATCAAAGCAAAGGATACATGAAATACTTCAGGGCTGCAGTGGAATCACTGAAGGACTAAATCTCTTCCTTTCACTCCATGGGGAACTTTTAAAATGTTTCTTCCCAACAGTATACAGGATTCCTTTGCATTATGAACCTTAGAAACAATCTATCTTATCACAAGCTTCCTCAAGCTTTTAAATTAACTGCTTCATTAGAACTCAAGTTTTTTCCTGTGTCCCATGCTGGTATTAATCAAAATGTTTCAAAATTAATTGAATTGTTTTTAAGATCTTTCTTTACTGATATTGTTGTTTTACAATTTAATCAACAGATGTTGGCTAGGTTGCTGTTTAATTCCATTTTGCTTAGATGGTTGCAAAGATGTCATTCATTCTTGTCCAAATTGCCATGCAAGGCTTGGCAGTTATCGCCGAATGTAGACTGTTCAGCAGAAGACACATCACAAGGTGGAAGTACAATAGTAGTTCTTATCAAGCCTGAACTAAGCTATACTAGATATCATATCTAAACCTCAATATATCTTCCTTGTCAAAACCAACAGAATGAAAGTAATGTAAGAAAAACTATAGAAAATAGAAAATTTATATACTATAAAAGATTTACTAATTTACAGATTCAATGATTTTGATTTACTGTAGAAAATAGAAAAAAAAAAGTTTTGTTAGTTAAAATAATACTGAAAGAGTCTTGTAAGCTAACAGTTTTTGAAAATGCCTGCTCTGGGTGTCCAGTCTAAAACTCTGAAAAAATTAAGTAAAAAAAATTTTTTTTTGATCAAAATTTTTTTCTGTTAGTTATTGTAAACATAAGGCTAGAAAGAGATAGTGTTATTCTTGTGCATGGTGTACGCTTATGCTTTTAGTAATTTTTAACTAATAAACACTTTTGTTGAAGTAGTGCTGATTTTTTGTCCTTGGTTGTTAGAATATTAGGTCTGATGCTTACAACTTTACATTGGTGTTAGAGAAATATATGTAACAGTTGTGTCGTTTTGTTCTTTCTAATACTTTTTCTCTTGTGTTCTTCACACTGAGGACGAAAACATCAGTATAGCAATTATTTTGGTTAAACTTGGCATGTGGAAAATTGATTGAGAATGAGAGCAGCTGTCTCTGCAGTAGGCTTACTTAACCCTTTAACCCCTAATAGTGATTACTAGCTATTTTCTCCTATTAGTATCACCCCTAAAACAAACATTGAGGTTATGAGAATAAAGGAAATGATCACCAGCTAAAGACACTCTTGATTGTAAAACAAATTCTCTTTGTTAGTGCCATAGGAAATGTACAGGGAACAGTGTGGAGAAAATGTATGCTGATGTTAGGGTGTAAAGGGGTTAAGAAAGTGAGATACCCACCATAAATGATTTGAAAGAGTATTTCCTGTATGTGACTTAAGATTTTTTTTCTGTTAATTATTGTAAACATAGAGCTAGAAAGAGATAGTGTTATTATTATGCATGGTGGAGAGGAAAATGAAAGGTAGTGGTGGACAGAGTTTGTTTGTCATGGGACAAAAAATGAAATGAAAAAAAATCACTTTAATGATACTGCCAGGTAATCCCCTTAACATTGTCTTTGAAATTATTTTTTTTCATAGTGATGGCAACTTTGAATTGAATATCTACTTTTGTAGCTGTGTTATAGACAGAGTGCTAATGTAGTTGTAATAGGAAGGTTATTATGATAGAAATTTCAAGAGAAATTCCATGAATTTTATCACTGTGTTTTGTTTTGGTTTCTCATCCAACTATGATTACAAATAGAAAAGAGACCTCCCAGTGTTGTTGTGTTTTATGACCCTTCACCCACAACTGAGATCATGATATCAGCTCTCTACATGGTCTTCCATATATTTCCTATAATTTTACTTCTGAGAATTTGGAGTTGAATCCAAAAGTATTCTATGTTGATTGAATTATTTCATCTCATTAACTTTGAAATGTGTGAACTTTATGAGGAAAAATTCTGTTTTGGTCAATCCTGGGTTTGGGGAGTGTTGTAAACCAGTCAGGTGTTATGGCTAATTCTATTTCCTTTTGGGCAACTATAAACTCAAAACATCAGACTGTTAGGTAAATTGATTATTTTGGTAATATTATCAAGGATGTTGCATATTTATTAAATTTACTTTCATAATCAACACTTGCCTTATATTGTTTTTTGGCAGTTAACAATCAACTGATCAGTTTTTCCTTAAATAAAAGTGATGGGGGAAATTTGCATACTTTTTTTAAACTGTCATCTGTAATAATAGGTAAGTAACAGGTATTTGTGAATAATAAGATACATTGATGAATATTCACTTATGAACTTAAATTCATTTGTCTGGTCTTCTCAGTAACTGCACCTATATTTACATAGGAAAGTGAAGTTCAGAAATCTGGGAGTGCAATCAGAAAAAATATTGAAGTAAACAACTCAGAAAACTGAGTTTGCAAATTAAATGAAATGACTTAAAAATTATTTTGAGTGTTAGGATTTTTATGAAGAAAATATAATCAAGAAAAGATATTAGGATTTTAAATGAAATTTTTATTTTGACGCTATTTGTTAACAGAAGTGAAAGTGTCATCCCTTTCCTCTTAAGGAAATTCCAATTTTACAATTTGCGAATTCCAACCATTAACATATATTTACATGTTTGGAGTTCCTTTTTCAACCCTTACTTGGGCTTTAAATAGAAAGTGATGACATATGACTCATCAGGCGCTGCTTGTTTGAGAGTCTCCCCAATTTGCGTGCAACGCGAATTCAAATTACTGACTGTTTACAGCGCAGCATCATTGAAATAAAGTTTCGTATCTTGTCTTAGGTGCGAACAAGATCAATAAAGTTTTTACCATTAAAGGAAGCGCTGAGAACAAAAAGAATCTGTCACGGGTTTTCGGCTTCGCGACTTGAACTTTTCCACTTCCGGAAATAATTGTCCGAATATAGTGCCGGAGTTCAACTGTGACGCTTTTTTCAACAATGATTAACCCAAATTGGTGCTGTTATGTTCCTAACATCGTCTAATGATATTAAGATAAAATCGGCAGTGGAAGGCTGTCTGTGCGATGATAATCATAGATTTTTTGACATAAAAAATATGAATTTTTTCGGTGCGTGATTTCGTACTTTCGTCACCACCTTCCGTAGTTACGATCTTGTAAAAGGACTACACACCCACTTCCGCCGAACATTACCTCATGACGTCGGACATGACATCGGTATGACATCTCGTGGCGGGAAATAGAGCCCGATAAGAAACAGCCAATTACATTACTTCCGAGATAATCAGTATTATGGATATCGAATTTGATTGGTCGAAAAAAAGTAGAATAATTTAATCACGTGACAATCTCATTCTTGTAAGCTTGAATCCTTTCACTTCATTTATGTTTGCCTCGTTTCTTGTCGAGTAAAGACTTTCAAAATAATTTGAGTTACAGCCGGAGATTTTTGAACGATTTGCAATGGCTGGTGCCAGCGGAGAGAATGCAGAAAGTCCGACAATTTCTCCCAGACAGCAAGCGAATAGAAAGCCCTCGCGAAATCGTCTTTCTTGTCAAGTCACTCTTCTCGATGGAACGGTTTTGACTACAGATCACTTACAAGTAAGTTTTTTCCAACGGTCTATTCGATGTTTTTAAGCTACTGTAGTAGATCTCGTTAAAAATCTTGAAGTTTATCCCACAGTTTTTCCAATTTTATGATGGGAAATGCTTGGGGAAATGTCTTACCCGAAATGTCGTTGTCAAGACGGGCAGCAGTATATTTTGAATCGAACTTTAAGCACGGTTCGAATGGCAATGATTGAAGAGATTACATGGAAACTTGTTGCTTAACGACACGATTTTATATTTGTCCTATGGCTGTTAAATGGTGTGTTATTGTGTCTCGCGAGAAGTCAAATTGGAAAAATTGAGAAAGGAAACGGTCGTCTCCCGCGGACCTATAAAAGCATTTTATGTAAATGTCTACAGCGGCTTTGACTGTGCACATTAACACGTTTCATGGCCGATCATCAGGGTTTGCCTTATCTGCAAATAAATCCTACAACACTGAAAGTTAAGGTGAATCGTGTTTGGATTTCAATTTGTTGCCAGTCGACGTCTGTTCCCTTCGATGTTTACATCATGATTAGGAAGAAAAATTGTTCGATGTTCGCGTTCATCATTTCATAGTTGGTCTTCTTTTAGCTATTTTCCCTATGCATTAATGGATTCTCTTACATGAAACTGCATTTTGATTTATGACTTCATATTTACTGCCTAAAGATTTGTTTTCATCTATTCTGCTCTTCATGTTCCAAAATTGGCATGGAATGATAAAGAGCAATTGGAAAGAGAGCCAATGTTTTGATTTTCAGCGAACATTTTGCAGGATAAGTATAGGTTGTGTTATTAACACTTCAAAACTAACATTCTGCAAGTTATATTTTAACGTCCAAATGTCATCATAGATATGATAACGTTAGAATTCTGTTATCGATGCCAAAATATATTTGATTCGGTTTGACCAATTTAGCATTCGAAAATTAAAAAGGTGTTTTTCGTTCCTAGCTTTAGCTTTCGTCAATCTTTCGGTCTATAATTCTATGTTCTTGCGATGATTTTTGACACACGAATTACTTCTTCTCAAAGAAAAGTGCCAAGGGTATGGACTTGATGCACTGGGTAACAACACACTTGAACATTACAGAAAAAGAGTACTTTGGACTACTATGGGAGGACAAAACAGGAGAAAAGGTAATAGGATATTTTTAGGTTACCCAGCACAACTAAGCTTTGGGTTATGATTAGGGTAGATGATTGTCTTAATAAAACTTTTCTTTGTTGTGTCTAGAAGTAGATCGCCCCTTATCGACAAATTTAACTCCGTTAGACATTGAAGAGGAAAAAAATATTTCCCTAACTTATTATCTTTTATCGAAACAATTTTTTTCCGTTGCGTGACCATGACCTACCAAAACAACTTATCAAAATTGTGTCCTGCAATCGTTTTCCCTGTGTTTGCTTTCTGTAAAGTACAATATGTTTTTGTTTTTTTCCTTTAGTACTGGTTAAATCCTCAGAAGAAAATAACAACTCAGCTAAAAGGTATTTTGCGAGATTCTTCGTATGAATTTTTTTCCCACGATTAAGCCCCAACGCCTAGATTTTATTGTCATGTAAATGAGTATCCCGGACAATTTTCCTTGGAGAATAATATTGTCAACTAGTTTGTTATGCGACTTTTATCCTGATAGCATTAATTTTTAATTTTTGACTCAGTGCTTCTTCCCAAATGGTTTATGTTTACAAACTAACACAAAATATATGTTGTAAATAATCATGCACTTGTTCAGAACGTTATATATTTATTAAAATGTTGTTATTTATAACTAAATTAAATTTGTTGTGATTAGCATTAATGGATGATCCCAGACAGCTTTTACTGATCTCTGCACTATTATGAAATAAAAAGATTTGCTTTTGAAGCAGTTCGGCTCAAAGTATATCATGGGATAACCAAGGTTAATCCTTTACCAAAAGAATTAGAAGCAGTGGGTTTGTTTCGTGATGTTATCAGAAAAAAGGACTGATTACAATCCCCACTTCACTGACCTAGCTTTCACTACCTATGTGGTCTGATTGTTTAAATATTTCTTGATGGTTGCATGCTGTACAACCTGGTGGCTCTCTTAACTTCAGTGTACACAGGAAATAGTATATCTGAGTGAGATCAATCTTGGACACGCAAGAGCCCCAGTATTTTATAAAGCTCTTTTTTTTAATCTGTGTGTTTCATTTGTTTGTTTCATAACTGCAAACAAAATTAATATAGCAGTATCATTCTTTGCACTTTTATGAATCAAACAGCAACAGAATGATGTTTCTCTTTCATATTTCTGCTGTATCACATCCAATTGTTTCCTTTTCCTGTTGTGAAGTAGAAGTACTTAAAGAAAAATTTCCCTTTGTCGTCAATCAGTTTTTCGCTGGCATATTTGATGTTGAAATGCTTCAGTTCTGATATTGATTCTGATATTAGTACTGTGGTCACTTGTTGACATGAAGTTAGTTCTATATTAGGTTTCATTAGCAATCTAAAGTACTTTATTTTATCAAACTCAAAATCTAACTATCATGAAAAATTGATTTTCATAAAAATGGAACAAAAGGATGGGAAAATTATGGAATTGATGTTAGCGTTTTGATTCTCTCTCTAATTATCTTTGCCATGAAGCACTTGATATGCGTGGCATTTTTTGAATAGTTTATTTATTTATCTGATAATTTTTGGATGATGTTAAAACATTCATTTAAAAATAAGAAACTCTATTTTAGCATTCTATGGATGGTTATGTTGTATACATTCGCAATTGTTTTTCAAGTAAAAGTTTACAAGTTGACTGTCAACATCTACCCTTTGTTCTTCCTTTTGTCCATACTTTCTGATGTAAGAGATAATTACTTTTTCTAGAAGGTTAATCTGTAAACAAAGTTTTGACTCTGTGATTATCATGTAAATGGAAACATTTTTTTTTAATGTGGGTCTATTTGCGTAACTTAGTTGTTTCATCTGACCTTAGCATTGAGCAATATCTGAGACAATAAAGTAAACCAAGTTATGCTTGACAGTCATTTGAAGCTATTGACATCAGTAAGTCAATTAAAGAATATAAATTTTTTTCAGGTTGCCTGCCAAACTTTGCTTTTGCTGTTAAGTTTTATGAGCCCCTTCCTTCCCAAATCAAGACTGACTACACCAGGTAAAGCAAATACATAGCATACTTCCCACAGATAGAGATGGAATTCTTTTTATAGTGAGTTTTAGAGGTTATTTAGAATTGCATTAGTTTTGGTCTACTTCCCTAAATATTAATTAGTCTAGAATACTTTTGCCACCTACTCAACTTGGCTTCAGACAGTTTGTTATTACTTTTATTGGTCATCATACTGTTTTGTCTCCCAATTGAACTTCAACTTGTTATTGATAGAAAGAATTTCCCCTAAGTTTTTTATTAAATGTGAGAAATTGCTTTGGAACTTTATTCCAAAGAATATTCTTTGAGTCACATGTATGATGCAAGAGCAAGAACTACTCAAGCAAATCAAAGAGAACATTCACTAAGTATTCATACTAGATTCTTCTACTCAGTCTTTATTTAATTTGTGTTTTTTTTTATACATTTTTATATTTTATTGGGATTTCCTTGAAAAAACCTTGTGATTGTTGTTAATTCCAAATATTAATTATGAAATGGTGTTTATAAAACTAAGTTATGGATTAGCGTTTCACAGGATCGTTTTCTATTGTTTACAATCAGATCTTACCAAGAATCTCTTGTAATTTTTTCATGAAGTACAAGAAAAGAAGGGTTCTTTTATTTGGATTTAGATGTAGCATATGTCTCAATCACCATTTTGCTCCCAAGGTATTTGATGTGCATGCAGTTGAGGGATGATGTAAATTCTGGGAGGTAAGATACAAATCTCTTACATTTGTTTGCTATGCAGATATACCATAAGAGAGAGCATGGACAGCTTAGATGAAATGTTTAGTGGCTAAGAATAGAATTGCTTGTATCCATGTCATCTTCTTTACAATGAAATTTCTAACTTCAGAATTCCCTTGAGTCAATGCAAAGAATGAATATGTCTTTGTAAGCTCAACCTTGCATGATATGAAGTCATCCTGTTCTTGGGCATAGCTCTCTGGGCCTGGGATTAAGAGGCTCTGATGGGGTCATTTTGCTATGTTCTTAAGCTAGAAACTTACTCTCATAGAGTCTTCCTCACCTAAGAATTTGAATGAGTTTAGAGTAATAAGGCTGAATGAACATCTTCACCCTTAAGATGTAGACGCATTTCTAGTCACTTCATACAACAGAAAGTGTGGATATGGTGTTTGAGACTTCCATAAACCTTATCTCCTAGCTTTTTATGGTCACCTGAGTGTAATATCACCAATTGATTGTTATATTGGTTTCTCTTTTTCAGATTGCCATGTTCCTTTAGCAACCAGGCTGTGCTTGGATCTTACATTGTGCAGGGTTAGTCTTTCAAAAAGAAAATCAAGAACTAGTTGTCATTGCATTCAGCCAATGTTGTTGTGGAAAGAGTTTTCTACCTCATTTGTCAAAGTTGTGGCATTTGTTTTCATAATCCAGCTGGAAACTGACTCTTCCTTTTACTTATAATTTAGGTGATGTTGGTGATTATGAAGCTCGTGAACATGGAACTGACTACTTGGATGGAATGGTCTTTGCTCCCGACCAGGTAAAGATGCTGAGTTCAAATGGTTTTTGTATTAACTTGTGATTCAATGACTTGGTCAATTCTCAAGTCAAATCAAAAGTTTCACTCGGGTTGAGATTTTGTCTTATTCTCTTAAACTGTCATCTTAAAAATGTATTATATTGTCAGGAAAAATAAGCTATTGGTCATCCTGCAAATGTAAAGGTTATCCCTATCACTTTTTAGAAATAAATGGTAACTCTCCAAAGTCAGTAACCTTAAAGCAATATTTTATTTTTTCTGTTTGTACAGACACAAGAATTACTGGACAAAATTAGGGAACTTCACAAGCAAAACAGGTAGCATAAGATCTCTACTAATAAAGTAACACTTTGATCTCTCAAATGGTATTTTTCAACAATAGTTTGCATTCATAACCTTGTGAATTTTTTCAATGTTAATCAAACACTTTCATTTCTTTGGAGTGCATGTTACAGGAAATAAGGTGTCAATGAAAGGAAGTTGTTGATGAAAATTTTGTTATTATTGCTGGGTGAAAAATTAAGTTGATTGGAAGTTAAATGCTGTGGTAATTTTTACACTCAATTAAACAGAATCTGTTCAAAAGCAGAATCTTCTCATTAGAAATGCCTGTGATAAAAATGACCAAGATACTGCAAGAAATCTGATTGGTCATAAGCCTATCATTCATTGCACCGATAAACTGATAGAAAATTGAAACAAAGGTTGTTTTATTCTGAGTTTATGTTATCAAAGCAATAGAGTGCACTTTTTGGGGTTTACTGGCATAACAACCCACTTGGAATATTGGAAGAACATGAGAAAAGTTTGTAAATCACTCCCCTCCAGCTTTTGAATTACAAAGTTCTCTATCAATCTTCCAATTTTCTTTGTGGGTTATTATGCAGATAAACTGATAGAAAGTGCAGTCTATTGCTTAGTTAGCATTTAAGGAACTCATGATATCCAGAAATGGATGTTATAGTTTGATGTTTGTTTTCCAGGGGTCTCAGTCCAGAAGAAGCTGATTTACAGTACCTAAAGATGGCAGCAACAAAACTTGTCATGTTCGGTGTGGATGCACATCCAGCAAGGGTAGGTAGAATTGCTTCTACCACTAAACCTGACGTCACTTGTTTAAACAGGGTGTGAAATTGCACCTAATAAAGGCACCAATGTGACTAAATTTTTCACTTTGGTGACTAAATCCTGAAAATTAGTCGCCAAATTGGTGACTAGAATGTTTCATCATTACCTTACCAAGAGATATAGTGAATTAAATAGATTTGCAAAGATAAATCCATGGCAAACTTCCTCATTAAGTTTGTTTCCAAAACGCGGCACATGCATCTCAATCGATAACTAGACACCATCTTGGATTTAAGTGAGCTTGAACATTTTATATCATCCATCCTAGTGTCCTCTTTGTAGCATGTTAAAGATCTTCTCCCTAACTTAATTTTGGAGGGTCTATCTAGAATGCTGACTGTGTAAAAAAAGGTTTTGTTTGTCTTTGAAAATGGCCACCAATTTTTTTTGAATTGGCTACCACTTTGAAGAATTTAGGAGCCAAGTGGCTATCAGAGAAAAAAAGTTAATTTTACACCCTGTTAAATTGTTGTTAGGTCTCCTTCTAGTTCTGAGAGTTTTCCCCTGAATTCCATGGTTTTCCTCTTCCACTAAAAGAAAATTATAAGTTAGAATTCAACTTGAAAAAAGTCGCAGAATTGAGAACTTTGTGGTAGCAATGTTCTGTGGAGAACTGTCAGTAGCCAGCTAAAAATTACTCTAGCTGGCAAAGGTTTATGTGCTCTTTCATATCAGTACATGTATTTTACTTGTTTGTCCGGTTGAAGTAGCATATCTCTACCTATAAATGGCTTGCTACCAATTGTCTTGTTTGTAACAAGTCTGGTTACTTTCACAGCAAGTTTTTTATCAGGTTGCTTGTGATATCTCATCCAAAGTTGCTCTGAGTATATTTGTTTGATTCCAAATAAAGGAACAAGATGGCACAGAAATACTCATTGGTGTTTCTCATGATGGTGTTGCTACCTACAAAGACAGACTGGTGGTCAACAAAATTCCATGGTAAGTGCATGAATTTCATCTTGCATTGCTTGATTAATTCTTTCATTCCAAGGGAAGTTATAGGTGCAACTTCTTTAAACCTATGGCCCCTGAGTGTGACGAGCATCTAATTTCTCCTTACAATATCACACCTGAATCAGACATTAGAGTTATGAGAGTAACTTGAATTAAGAGGCTTTTGATTGATAAACAAATTCTTCATGTCATCATAGTATCAATCATAGTATCTGAACCTCATTTGAAATTTTGATTTAGGACCAAGATTGACTACATCAAGTACAGAAAGAGGAATTTCATCATCAAAAGCCATCCAGGAGAGGTAAAAACAGAGTAATTGCCGCAGTTCTAGCATTTTCCAGAGGCCTTCAAGAGGAGACATATTTTGTTTAAAGGTTAAAAGGTTCTCTAGAGCTTTGCACCCCAAGAAGATACCCTTACAAGGGATTTTTTGTCTATGTGATCCAGAAAATCCTGAGTAAGATCATTATTTGGTAGATCCTCTTTTTCTTTTTTTAGACTTTAAGAGATGAGATTTGGCTCAGATTGCACATAATTTGACTCCTTCCTGTGGGTTCTGTTTCATAATCCTATGAAGGATTTCATCCACCCTTTGAACCTTTAACCTCTAAGAGTGACTGGGATCAATTGTCTCCTTACAGGATCATTACTGAATCAAACATAAACGTCATAACAAAAAGGAAAATATCCAAAATTAAAAAAGCTCCTGATTGTCATACAAATTCTCCTGTCAAACCTCATGAATTGAATGAAGAGCAGTATGGAGAAAATATATTTTGAGGGAGAAAATATATTTTGAGGGTGTAAAGGGTTGATGAACACAATTTTGTACTTGTGCAAAACATAATCATTTGATAAACACAATTTTGCACTTGTGTGAAACATCATTATTTAATGAACATAATTTAACACTTGTGCAAAACATTCTTGTAAATTATTGGTATTTCTTCCAATTATCAGCTGGACACTTTGACAACTAGAGTTGTTTACAAGACGCCAAGTGAGAAGGCAGCCAAGCGCTTGTATAAATCTTGCGTTGAACATCATACATTCTTCAGGTATAAAATTTTCTTCCGGCCAGTATCAACTGTCTGCACATTGGCCATCTGCAAAACACCCATATTTTTATTACTATTTTTTTTTGTCTTCTGCTACTGCCTGAATTTTAAATCCTACTGCCAATACGTTCAGCAAAACTCTGTTAGGAGTTTTCTCCCCCACACCACATTACTGATATTGCTCCAAACACAATCTTACCTTTTCTGTGTCAGGTTAACTTTCTCTGACCCACCACCAAGTCGTAGTAGCTCTCTGCTGAGGATGGGATCAAAGTTCCGTTACAGTGACCGCACCCTGTATCAGCTACACAAGGATGGTCAACCAATCAAGGACCAGCCCAAGTTTAATCGTGTTTCAAGTCTAAACTGGTCACGTCGTTACCAAATGCCTTCTCTATCAGAAACCAGGATTTATGTGAAAGAAGATGATGAGAGCAACAAGAGGCCCTTATCAGAGGGAGATCTTCCTGGAAAGATGCGGTGGTACAAAGGGGGACAGGTGAGTTAGTATGGTTAATTCAATGTATACGTTTCTTGGACATGTCTTTTGATTCTTTTTTTGTACAATTCTCTTTAAAACAAAGCTGGAACCTTCAAATATTTCTTTCTTATTCCTAGTGTACTCAAGATGCCTGTATACGTGTTTTATGTATGAAAACAAGATTGTTGAGACATTATTATAGGGTAGCATCAGGCAAAATTTGGCAAATGTATGATATGTTTAGGAGATTATTAGTCTGCAAGTGAATTTTGTTGCTCTGTATGGAAATTTTATTTTCCAATTGTTTTAGGCACCACTAATGGAGGAGGAATCAATGGCGACCTTGACACCAGAAGAGCGTGAACAGTATCAGAGAGAGATAACAGAGAAATTGGGAAAACAAAAGGGAGAAAGAGGAGACGATGTCATCAGAGCTACTGGTGCCGGGGAAGCTGGTGGCTTCTATGCATATGGTAGAGCAGAAAGACCTGATCCTCAAGCCACAGTCACTGCTGTGGAAGAAGAGGCAAGGAGACGTGAGTGGGAGAGGAAACAAGCCGAGGAACGAGAAAGGATACGACTTGAGCAGGAGAAAGAAGCAGAACGAGAGAGGAAATTGCAAGAATGGATTGAAAGCGAGAAGAGAAGGTTAAATAAAAGTTTGATAAGAGTGTTATTCAAGTCATCTTTTCCCAAAGGATCTTAGTCAGTGAAAAATTAAAACCAAATTTTTTCCCAGCGACCAATCAGAACAAAAACTTGCTTTGTCATTAGCCAATGAGAACTCTCTGTGAAAACAAGCAAACTGCTTGAAGCGCGGGAAAACGTGCATGACCAAGTCGCGATTGTTTTTAGTTCTTATTGGTTGAGAGAATGGCGCGTTTTCTTGACCAATCACAGAGCAAATTAAAGAAAAATCAAAGCAATGCTCAATTTCTTTCAACGCTCAATTGAAAATTGCTCTAGAATACAATAACTGATCAGCAAAATTTGGTCATTTTTTGTTGGATAGAATAACATAAGGTACAATCTGTCTTGATTTTAGGGTTGAGGCAATTGAGCCGCAGGAAGCCGGCCCAGCGTACACAGCTCCTGGAGGAAAAGCTGAAAGGTAATTTTACGTGATCAAATTGGTCAAATTGAGGTAAAGTGTACCTTAACGATACGTGTGTATAAGCTTGATATTCATATCTTTGTATATTTGTTTTTTTTTTCTACCGTACTATTTATTGTTTTCTCACGTATTGAATGCTGTCTATTTTAGAGCAACATTTACTCTGGAAAAGGTCAAGAAAGAAGAACCAGAATTTGTCAGCATGGGCGTGGCTACCCCTGTTAGTGGTTTTGACACCATCAAGAGGGCAGAGACGAGGGTAGCTGATACTGATACGTACAAGGGACGTGTCCAGAAGCTGCCACAGGATGAGATGGTAAGAATCTATAGATGTCATAGAGTCCTAAAAGTTGACCAAAAACTCTTGTCATTTGTCAGACGCGTTTGGCCAGTTGGGTCTTTCCGTTGGGAGAGAGTTCCACTGTTGATAGGTGCATTTTGACTAGATCCATTATTTCCCAATTTTTATCAGTTCACTTCCTACAGAAAATTCTCAAATGCCAACTCCGTTCAAATTCGACATTCTGCCGACCAGTGAGTTGTTACTAATGATTAGCACCCCAACACTTGTTATGTAGATAAGCCATTCAAAGGCAGTTTGACGCAACTAAAATGAGAGCGTCCAAACAGCGTCTGTCCAACAATGGCGTTGTCGCCGTTTTACGTAAACCCGTTTTGGTTCTGGCTCTTAGACTTAGAAAAGAGCATCAGTCTGTAACAGTGCCTGGTATTGTAAAGAAATATGAAGGAAACTTGTCGCGGTTTTCCAGGCCAATCACAGAGCAAACTTGCCTCCTTCGCAACCGTTCTTCGAGATATGAAAGAATGGTCCCCTAGAGTGTTGCGTGACATTTAAAGAACGGTTGCGACGGAGCCTCAGAGAGAACCAAAGCAAAAAGAAAACAATAGCAAATTACTTTCGACAATCCATGGTAAAATTTATTTTTAAATGTTGAGTTATGGAACGCATGTATTGCATCATTCCACCATCTTTGTCTGTGTATAGAAGGACAGGCACTCGAAACGACCTTTTTAGTGCAGTTTTCATTTGAGCCTCGAACAACTAAGACCACAATGATCACAACAGCCAATCGGAAAGAAGGTTGACATCATTACAGAATTAGAACTCTGCGTAAAAACGCGGGGTTTTTTGCACCAATCCTAGAACGAAATTAAGCAAAATCAAAGAAATCATGGATTACTTTCGACACTCAATTAATTACATCCTGAAAACTTCTTTTTTTCACAGGGTCCTGACCCTTCTGCAAGGACAAACACATGGGGTGGTGGAAAAAAGGATAATGTATCCTACACCCGAACACACACCAGTGCAACTTTACCCAACCGAGGAGCAAGAAAAGGCTTTGATAGCAACATGATGCCTGATGAGGACAGGAGACGCAGTGCTGAGGATTTGTTGGAGAACAATGGACAGGAGAGGGGCCAAAGACAAGGAAAAGTACCTCTGGTGAATAGGGATGAACTGATGAGGTACTACTCACCTGGGTCAAGTGACACTCTGCGCACTGAACCCGCCCAGCATGAGATCAAGAGATCACTGAAAGATGACCTCAACTTGCAGCACGAGCAAGGCGAGGGTGGCTTTGTTCGGGAGAGCATCCGAAGAAACGAAGGCTTCATTGCAAAGCAGACCGTGCGGAACGACCTGGAAAGCGCTCCACCCGAGATCACCACCAAGACCATGATCATCGATAATGACAGAGACCCGAAAGTGTATCGTCAGAACAGAGCTCCGGAGGTAGAGACGCACTCGTTTTTGATTGGACGGAACGATGGACAGCCAGGAGTTAAACAAGGTACTCCCTATCGCTTTAGTGACATCACCCAGGATGGTTCTCCTGAGCCATATTCACCACATTCAAGACATTACAATGTGCCCAGCGTCACCACACAGAGAGTTGTGTATGACCAAAATGGACCTCCTATTAGTCCACCTTCGAGTGGTTAGTAAATGATTCCCAATCAATTTCAGTATTTCAGTAACTGCGCACCTACCCCTCCCCTAACCCGGTAACTACGCACCTAACTCAACGTTAACCCTTGACTTATCTGCAGTTGACTTTTGTTGGGTTAGGGGAGGGTTAGGTGTGAAGTTGCTCAGGGACCGACATCGATCCAAGTTCCCTTTGAGTGCAGTTTATAAAACCGCAGTAACACTAGTGATTGCTTCTCGACAAATGAACTTCTCATGGGACATTCAGTTACAACAACCTTTGCGCGTGTGTAAGACAAAGTTACGAAGGAGTAGAATTTACATGTAAAAGAATTTTCCTTCAACCTCACTACAAATTCCCCATCAGGTCTCCTAATTTAGTCATTTAACTCAATCAAGTTTCGTTTTCAAGATAACTGCTTTCTCCTTTATTGGTATCCTTTTTTTTTTTTTTTTTTTAAAGGCTTGTCATTTTGCTTTCAAACGGATTCTTTCCACGGAAAAGCTGTATCATGGTCTTCGCTGCTTAGGGAAATTTTCGAGAGAAATTCTGTCATTGTGTTTTAGTGTTTTTTAATTTACCCCAAAGATAGAAATTTTCAAGCTATTTTGAGCCACTGCATGATTTTGGTATTGGTTGGAGAACATTGCATTGAAAACACGGACGAGCTCTCAGCGTTTTTATCTGCTGAGAAACGAAAATTCGGAAAAACTGGTGAAAGAACCCTGCAAATTAAAGGTGCCTGTACGAGATCTAACCGCACACTTGTCCAGAAATTATCACAATCAGTTTTTTTTTCTTATCATATTTAATCCATGACATTTTTCTTTAACTTCGCTTACAATAGTCAAGTTGATCTCTGCTTGCGAACATTTCCCGCACTAGTTATGACATTTGCTTAAAAGTTTTGGAGATTGATGACGTATATCACATTTCAGCTAAGTGAGACTTTACATGTAAGTCTTCTTCGGAGCCGTTCTTTGGAAAGTAACTCAACCCTCTCGTTAAAAGAAGTTTCAAAGAGGGGAATGTTGCGTGACATTCCAAAGAACAGGTCCGAAAGAGACTGAGCAGGTTGGTCATAGCCAAAGCCGTTCTCTTGCTTTTACCAAGAATGTCACGTCATTCTGGAAGTGATGTAAATTTTCTGTCTTTTAATTTAATTTACGACTTCCTCTCAACAGGAACCCAAGATGGCGGCACGGTGATTACTCGCACCATAATGATGGGTGGTGCAGAGCCAACGAGAACAGAGACTATTCGTCAGACGACCATGCCTACAGAGATAATTCAAAAGACAATCACCATCGAGGGTGATGGAAACCAGCTAACTGCCGAGGAGCTAAAGGATATCATAGCTAAACATGCAGGAGACATTGGAAGCAGTGAAGTGGTTACCACTGTAAGTCGTGACTATGCCATGACCATCATGTTGATGGAAAATAAAAGTAATAAAGTGCGGACACCAAGAAAAAAAATTGTTTTGTGAGATAGAGAAGCACAAAAATGGGGACCCTAAGCCAAAACAAGAAATAAGACTGTTAGGGATAGAGGAGTATCTAGCATCAGGCTTGCAGTATAGCATTTTCGTTTCTATCTACGTTCACTCTTCCAGCGTGTGTTATGTTTACTACAGTTTTCTGTGGTCACCCTCCTAAAGGTCCCTGTTGCTTGGTGGTAGGACGACTGAATCACTAACCTTATGGATACTGTTTAGACTCCAGCTACACTCAAAATGTTCATGTTTTGGTGATGATAATACAAAATTGAAAAAAAATTCCGCATTTTCCATGCAACACGAACGCAAATTACAAATGGCGCGCGCACGCTTTCAAAATATCGCCTTTCTTGACTTTCTGTGTTGCTCTTTCAAGTACATTATTACCAAGTAATAACATGAATTCCGATGCAGTTTGGGATAAAGACACTTTGAGATCTTTTGAAAGATTTACTCATGCTTATTTACACCAAATTGTACTGGAAATGATGTTGTTACTTCGTCCTTAGACGAGTGCGAGCTTCGAATAACTCTTTTACATACGAAATGTCTCATTCCTTTTCAGACTTACACAACCAAGGTTCAAGAAGTGAAGCAAACGAAGACAATAACAGAAACAATGAGGGTTGTGGATGATGAAGGGAACATCATCAAAACTGGTGACCCTGATACTGATGCTGTAAGTGATCGGCTCACCACCATTACGATGGTGGCACCAGTGAACTCTCTTGTTGGTCGAACTGTTGTAACTTTTGTCTTAAACAGAAGAATGTTTGAGCCCACGGTAGATTGATTGAAGGTTGCTAAGTAATTCAGTGACGTACGTTTACAACGTAGTGTACGTGCGATTGGTTGAACCGTAAAACTCTGGATTATGAACAAGAAGATTTCCTAGTATTCGGTTAACGTACTAAATATTTCATGAATTTTTTTGCAAGAAGTGGGACGGTGTTTAGACGAAGGCGCTTTTTGTCCTTCACTGTAGTTGCTAAATGACAAATGAATTGTATTTATGTAATTTTCCGTATATTTGTTTGTTTTTCTATTTATTTATTTTTCGACGGAATAGTTTGGTTCCCAACCTAATCTCTGCAAAAGGTTAAGAAGTCAAAGTATTGTACTCATTCCTCTTGCATTGAAATCCCATGTAGGCAATTTGGGAGGCCATCCAGCGAGCAAAGGAAGAGAACCCTAACGCTAAAATAACCGAGGTTGTTATAACCAGGACTGATGAAGAAAGCCAAGCGTAAAGGTAAAGTTATTTTGTTATTTTTAAGCGATTTTCTTTCAACTTCCCGAGTTTTAATGTTTTATTGATTATTCTCTCTAGCTGCATAACGCTGTTGATAATTTTAGTTCTCTTCTGACATTTGACAGTGATTTTAACTGGATCTTGTTTGTTTACACACTTGCTGCTGTGCTTGAACCTTGATTGGCTTATGTCTTTTTGTTCCGCTGTGGCGATTGGTTCTCCTGCTGATGATATGTTCGTGTTATCCTTCCAGTTTGAATGTAGACATTCCTTTGTCATGTCAATCCTATGGTTTTTTAATCTCAAATTCAGTCGTCTTTGAAACTTTCTTGATTTTGATGTACGATTTACCATCCGCAGCAGTTAAAACCCACGGAGCCCTTAAGGAATTGCAGTCGGCCAAGCCGACAAGTAGAGGATGAACGCTGCTTCCCTAAAGTGTTACAAACTCGTAAAGGATATACTATAAAAGTTAAGGATGTAAAATCAGTGGTGTTGGAATATTGAAGAGCCCATAGTGGTACAGTTTAAAACAAGTCTGGGTTGTTGAAGGTGTTGAAGTAGAGAAGTAAATCGTTCAATGGGTTGGTTGGTTTGCTTGTTTGTTTGTTTGTTTTTCTTTTAAGAGATAAGTGGTTAAGCGCTGTAGAAGAATTTTATTATAAATGTGTTTTTAATTTTAGGAAAAGGCGTATGTGCACGTCGTTATTTGGTAGTTAGCTTTTTCAGATGATTAACCGTACACGAAGCCCGTTGCCAGTTCATCCAATGAAAGAATTTCATTTAAGGCGAAATGTTACGCAAGTTTTATTTCGACTTTCACGCATGCAGATATAAAATTTGTTTGGGAAAGACCTTATCGTTACAAAAGTAACAAACTTTGATAAGCACTAGGTATATTATCTTCTTATTATCATTGTTTCTATTTTGTAAAATGCCCCAAATCATTCAACATCCAAGGGATTTTGAAACTAACTCGATTCAAACACATTAAATTATAGTATTTTAAGATTGCTTTAAGTTGGAATTCCTGCTTTTAGTTTTGTAATAATGTAACCATTTTCTAAATAAGATGAATTGGGGTCGTGTCATGCGGAAGCTTCCCACGGTATGTTTTGTTTCCAATTAATAGCTTTAGGTGTTCGCTTCCCATAGTTTCGAGCTTTTATCTAAGATGGTGGAAGATTAAAGATGTATCATTCGCGGTACTTAGCTCTATAATTTTAATCTTTTATCTAAGATGGTTGAAGACTAAATGATGTATCATGAGATCATAAGATGATAAGATGTATCATTCGTGGTACCTAGCTCAGCAACGTTTTAAAATCATGATTTTTACGAGTGAATCCCTTCTTTCGTATGAATGTGGGCTTTGCTCAATTCGGGGCACGTTGAGAACGCTTCTGCTGAAATGATTCGTGAACTTTGTATTCGATAGTACACCTCAACGAGATAGCTTCAAAACTGCTTTGCAGTTATTATAGCTCCCAAAACGGGAAGCGTGTACATTTGCCATGTATGAGGTTCACATTTTAGATAAGTTTATTTAATGGAATAATTACTTTTAATTAACGCTGTTACAACGACTCTGTTGAAGTTGATAAGTTTTAGGCATCTTACATGACCGTGTAAGCGTCCTCTCATTGGGTGGCTTTTAATAAACTTCGTTATATAGTTAAATTTTCTGGTCTCATGGCACATTTTGATACAGTGCTTTCAGGGTAACGATCATAAGTATTGAACATACTGGGGATTTGAGCCCATGGTCTTCCATCGTAATCCCCTCTCCCTTTTGACACAAGGTATCTTTTACAACTCCAACACACCCCACCCTCCCCCCCCCCTTCACCTCTACACAGGAGATCCATGGTACCTGACACAGCCACACACTCCCTGCACAGGAAATCCATGGTTTCTACTCTAACCCCACCACCCTGACGTGTTTCGATTGATTGACGTGGCAAAAGAAAATAATCATTTCAGCGGCCGATCATAATCGAGAAGAGTTTTACAAAGAGCCTATAAATTGGGGAAGACTGCGGGAGAGTGCGAGTGACCGAGTCATGATAGGTCTCATTGTTGCATCTGATTGGTTGAGAGGATGGGAAGGATTTTCAAAATAATCACAGAGCGTAGTGAAATAGAAACTAATTCAGTTCCAAGCTACTTTAGACTTATACAAAATTTTCTTTAAGTAAGCATTACTGCATTTTTCAACAGTAAAAGAAATGAATTATTTCTCATATGAACTTCGTACGTCAACTCGCTTTTACTTCGGTATATTTCTGGAGTTGATCTTAGCAGTCCATAGTCCATTTGTGATGCATAAACTATGAATTTGCTCTGGCTTGCTGACGAGTTCCCGCTACCCGATGGGTGGAGCATCTTACCGCAGAAGCAGTCCCGAATACAGTTCAAATACTATCAGGGGGAACTTGTAAGCTGTTTTATTTATCAACTTTTCGTGGTTACTGGTCTTTAAAAGCCAGCACTATAACGCTATCGTATGTGAGTGTGGGTGAGTAAGTAAGCTAAGCCTGCGACTGTCACGTTAGGATTTACTCGAGCTCTTTTGATCGATTAGTACACAATCCTAGCAAAAATTGCTGCTGAATTTAAACAATATCGAATCAAATAGCAGAATTTTCATAAAAATGTCATCTTGGATTCGTAACGCTTTTCCTCAGAATCTTTACGCATTTGATACTTGCAGTACGTAGTCCACTTGTTACATATAAAATTATAATTTGCTCTCCATTCATGGCAAGTTCCCAGCAGCTCGGTGGGTAGAGCATTGTACCGCGAAAGAGGTCCCAGTCGGGATGGAGATCCTGACACGGGGAACTTGCCGTATTTCTTTTTTTCATTATTCATTTTGTAAGCTTTTTTTCTGATGATTTGTTGGTTTTCCCATTTTATACCACGCTTATAAATAGTCTGGAATGTCTTTCAATTGTGTACTCGTCTTTTTACTTCACTACGTCAGCGAATGTTTCTCTCCTTAATGGCAAGTTCACCCTTTTTCTACACTCTTAAATTCAGGAAATTTATCTAAACACTTCGGAGTTTGAACATTATTTCATCAAACAACAAAGTTCGTGTAGTTATGTCATTTTAGAGTCAAAACACTTTTTCAATGAAATTTTGTACACTTGTTCCTTCCAGTACGTACTCCACTTGTTACATATAATCTTAGAATTTATTCTTCAATCATGGCAAGTTCCCCGCAGCTCAGTGGGTAGAGCATTGTACCGCGAAAGCGGTCCGAGTCAGGATGGAAATCCTGTACCGGGGAACTTGCCGTTTTTTTTCCTTTTGTTTGATTTCTTTTTTAATTTTTTTTCGATGATTTGATGGTTTTCCTATTTTATACGAAGGTTATAGAGTCCGTAATGTGTTTTTAAACTCATTTTCTCACTTCATTACATTAGCGAAGGTTTCTTCCAATTATTGGTAAGTTTACTTAAATTGGAACATTATTATATCAAACAAAGACGTTTTTGTAGTAATGTCTTTTTAGAGTCAAAACACTATTTCCTCAGAATCTTGTTGCACTTGTTCCTTGCAACACGCATTCTTTTTGTTATATATAATCTTGATATTTACTTCTTAATCATGGTAAGTTCCCCGCAGCTCAGTGGGTAGAGCATTAGACCGCGAATGCGGTCCCAGTCAGGATAGAGATCCTGACCCGGGGAACTTGCCGTTTTTGTTTCTTTGTTTGTTTTTTTTGTTTCGTTTTAAATATTTTCCTTTTTTCGATGATTTGTTGGTTTTTTTATTTTATACAAAGCCCAGAATTACTTTGAAATGTCTTTTTATACTCGTCTTTTCACTTCATTTCATTAACGAACTTTTTATTCCACTTATTGGCAAGTTTACCCGTTTCTTACACTCTTAAATTGAGGACATGCATCGAAACGCCACTGAATTCGAACATTATTAAACTGTCAAATAGTACAGTTTGCATTAAATGTCATCTTAGATCCATGAAACACTTTTTCATCCGTGTTCGCGCATTCGATCATTGCTGTAAGCGATCCACTTGTTACTAATATAAAATTAAAAGTTCCCCGCAGCGCAGTGGGTTGAACATTCTACAGTAAGATGCTAACTCTGTCAAGGAGAACTTGCCGCTTGTTTGCTTTGATTTTTTTTAATCTATTTATTTTTCGGATGACTCGTTTCTTTTCTCATTTTATACCCAACTTTAAATATTCTGGAATGTCTTGTATAACGTTTAGTTCATTTAAGCACATCAGTCATGGTTTTTTTTTAAATCACTTATTGGCAAGTTTATCCTTCTCCTACGCTCTAAATTGAAGACATGCAACTGAACGCTACTGAATTTAAACATTATTAAAGTGGCAAATAGCAGTGAATGCGTTAAAATGTCATCTTATAGTCAAAACACTTTTTTTCAGAATGTTTGTGCAGTTGATCCTTGCAGTTAATCTACTTGTTACCTATGAACTTAAAATTTGCTTTTTCGGCAGGTTTCCCACAGTTCAGTAGGTAGAGCATAGAGCTGCAAAAGCAGTCTTAGTCAGGATGGAGATACTGTTCGGAGAACTTGCCGTTATTTTTGTTTGATTTCTTTTTAATCTTTTTTTTATGATTTTCTTTCCCCACTTAATAGCCAACTTATGGATAGTCTTGAATGTCTTTGTATACAGGTCCTTTCATTTTACAACAGCAGTGAATGTTTTTTTTTTTTATTTTCAAGTACTTATTGGCGGGTTTTCCCTATTCCCACATCAAAAACTTGAGGATATGCAACCAAACACGACTGAATTTGAACACTGTTAATAAAAAAAAAGCTGTGAGAGTTTTCTATGATAATGTCTTGTTAGAGTAAAAACGCTTCTTCCTCAAAAGGTTAATGCACTTGTTCCTTGCAGGAGGTACTCCACTTGTAAAATGTAATCTTAAAATTCATTCTTCTTTCATGGCAAGTTCCCCGCAGCTCAGTGGGTAGAGCATTATACCGCGAACGCGGTCCGAGTCAGGATGAAAATCCTGCACCGGGGGACTTGCCGTTTTTTGCCTTTTTTTTTTTTTTAGATTTTTGATTTTTTATCTTTCTTTTTCTTTTGTCTTTTGATGATTCATTTCTTTTCTCATTTTATACCAATCGTCGGTATTGGTATAAAATCGCTATTGCAGTAATGTTATCTTAGAGTCAAAACACTTTTTCCTAAGAATCCTTGCTCACATATTCCCTGCAGTACGTAATCCACTTGTTACAAATAATCTTTAAATTTTCTTTCCATTTATGGCAAGTTCCCCGCAGCTCAGTAGATAGAACATTGTACCGCGAAAGCAGTCCCAGTGAGGATGGAGATTCTTTTCCGGGGAACTTGCTGTTTTATTGTTTGCTATTTCTTTTTTAACCTTTTTTTTTTTCGGTGATGTTTCATTTTTCTTTTTTCAGCCAGCTGATAAATAATCTGGATTGTCTTTGTTTGACGGTCTGTTCATTTTTTTTCCCACGCAGTTGGTAGTTAACCGTTTTCGCTCACTCATCGCTGACGCTGTTTCAATTTTAGCGAAGGAATATAATCATTTTATCATTTATATTATTATTTTATTTCATATCTTGGTTAGAAAGAGTATTTAACTAAAAAATTTGGAAATGCTAAAGAAATTGAGCTGAAGAATGAGTAACACGTGAAATGTCCCTTTCTTTATGAACGGGAGTTTCTCATTGGCTTCTTTAAGGGCGTGTGAATAGAATTTGCGTCATATTCGTGATGTATGCATTTATGATTGGTCTGTTTTCATATTCAATATTCATAGTAGATTGTAAAGTTTTCTCAAACCAAACAGGTCTTGGACGGGTGAGGACGTGTTACCTCAACCACGTGCAGAGAGTACCTGCATAGTTTTAGAATTGGACTCTTGCTTGAAAGACGTTTGAAGGTGAGCATTCTGTTGCTCTTTCAAAATTTCTGGTCTAATTATCTTCCCCTCAGTGTAAAAGTTAGAAACAACTATTGAATGAGCGAGTGCGCTTTCGGTTCACATCATGTTGCGCCTCTGACTTAGAGTAAGTCGAGTCGTTCGTATTCATGCCAAAGTAGAAGAAACTAATTTAGTCTTAGGTTAACAGAAATACTGTGTTACCTTTCGAAGGAAATTACACATAGTAAGTTACATTTCGAAAAAAATTGCGGCAATAGCATGCGGTAAGACTCGAGAAGAACGCAGGCGAGTGCGTTTGAAGTTTGAGGTAAAGGAACCTCTAAACGCGCAGAGGAATCGTGGCATGAGCCTTTCGATAACGAAACTTCGTGTTGCAACTGAGAACATCGTTGATGCGTCTCCAATCCTTCCATTGAACTTCAAGCCTGACATACCTTGCCTCTTTCACATTCATTGACGATTGCTCGGAAGTTTTATCAATTTGCCACCGAACTAAATATTGTTTTGCTTATTCCTATTTACAGAATGACTGAAAAAATGAAGAAGACAACAGACAAGAAAGTACAAGAGGACAAACTGGATTCAATGCATGAAAAAGAAACTCTACAAAGATAAGAACTTTAAATTTGTTGTATTGTGCTAATGTGAATGGTGGCTGCCAACAGTTTGTCGTATTATCAATAGGCTATTGTGAAAAACAAATAGGTGTCGAGCAGGAGTAGAAATTTCGCTTCAAAGATTTACCTAAAGCGATG